CTCGAGTGACCTAATACAAAAATAACAAATGTTTCAATATCACGAACAATATATCGAATCAACTTTAATTACTTTATTTTATAATTTAGCTGGCATCACTGCCTACTAATTACAGGTTTAGTAAACCTTTTAAAAAAAATGTTAGCCGTCTGTCACATTGATTGATTTTCATTCGACTTCTTTGAATGCAAGAATGCGCTCATGTGTTCTCGGTTTTTGCTGCTATAGAAGAGAAGGCAGTTTTACATATTACGAGGATGAAACGTAGGTACACGAAGGCAAGTATTGAATAATGTCGTAATTAACTTTTTATAACCTATTTTTTCTTCAAAGTATTAGTCGGCAATCAAATTTTATACTTATTTAACACTTAAATTAACTTTGTTAATAAATTTCTGTTGCCAAAATGAATAAATAATTAAAGAAATCCATATTTATTGGTAATATTTTTCAATTTATATGCATATATAACTGTCCTCATATATAAGTGAAATATTAAATATATTTTTATTTTCAGGACATACCCTCAATAAACTGTAGTGTAATACATGCAATCTTCACGACAAGGTTTCCTCGATGGCTTGACATCAGGGCTTAAGGCACCTACAGACAAAGGCAGGCGACTTATAGTTAGCCATATAGAGATGGCTTATTGGTTTTTGAGGCAAAAAAGGCTTGGCAGATTACCACAAGGAGATGACTGGGACTGACTTATATTATATATATACCCCAGTCATCTCCTATATTGTATTTGAGGAGTGGTTCACAAAAATACTTCCAAAATTAAAACCAACTAAAATCGGCAATCGGCAAAAATATTGGACAATATAACAAATGAATTAGATATTTGTGAACTTCTTCTAATTTTTTTTTTTATTATTATTGTTTTACACTACATTGTTCATTAAATTCTTTTATTTCATTAATTATATAAACAACTTGACAATTATTTTTATTCATCTAATTCTAACCTATTAAATACATGTGCAAAAAAACATCGATGTTTTGAGTAGGATAAACATCGAACATCGATGTAGAGCTGTCGATGTCAACATCGATGTCATCATCGATTTTTCTACAACATCGATCGTCCCTAGTTCAGACGCGTATTGAAATTGAAAAATTAATGTGCCCGGCCAAAAAGGTTTGTAATCTCTGACATGTCAAAAAATGACAGCTGTCAGAATTCTACGGAATGAAAAATCAGACTATAGATATTTTTGACGTCATTTTGAAATAAACATAGTTTTTAATAAAGTTACACCAATGTTCTCTTTTTTTTCTTACATACGATTCACATGGGTTATGAAGTTAAGTAAAATGTTATCAATGTATCCTTCTGGCTATACCACAGAATAAATAATAGCACAAGAACAGAAGGATCACTCTCTGATAGCGATTCAAATAATTTAACTACTTACCATTTTAACCGACTTCAAAAAAAGGGGCAGATACTCAATTCGACTGTATTTTTTATGCGTATCTCAGAACTTTTTCCTAGGTGAACCGATTTTGATGATTCTTTTTTTATTTGAAAGATGGTGCTTATAATTTATATATACCATATAAACTTGATCAAGATCTGACCAGTGGATTCCAGTTATCCTTAATAATGCGTATTAATATTGAAGTCAGTTACACAAAATTTTTGATTTCATTACTTGTCTCTCCTCCTCTCTTTTTAAAAAACGTTACTTCCGCACTAAGGTTTTCTCCTGTATCGCGGGTGCAGTTTACTTGCATAGATTTTACAAAGACAAACATCCAGACGCAGAACAATTATTCGTAGGCAGTAGGCCATACAAAGACTTGTTCTGTGCGGGATTCGAACCCACGGCACTTAGCGTTGCAACTCATTGCAAAGCCACTACGCCACAGAGCCGTTACTTGTCTGTTTCAAATTTTTTGCTATTTAAAAACATGTGACACGCGACGGCATTATTAATGAAAGAGTGGCTATGAGAATTGCTGCTATTTTCAATCTCTTTCTTTTATCGATCAAGTGTTAAACTAAGAACCAGTATATACTGATCTTGATTCAGTAGGCAGTCACTTGTACTGGGAGGTCTACTTACACTGAGTGTTTTTAAAATCATTGGCATTATATGTTATACGTGGTAGAGCCATGCTGCAGCTATATTAATAGTATAGTTGTAGCACGAATGGGTCGGTTTGACCGAGGAAGGACCACGCTCTCACAGAATATCAGCGTAAAATAGCAGCTTAATGCTGCTGTGTTTCGTATGGTGAGTGTCGAGAACCGGAGACCCTTTTTATTGGAAAAAAGGCATTCCATCTTAGTCCCCACGGCTGACAATGCATATGCATTTTAATTCGCAAACGAAGACTAGATGTAGATGTCTATTGGCCACAGCATCCACTTATCATCAGGTGGACTGTGTACACGTTTGTCACCCTTTTTCTATAAAAAAAAAAATTATACGCGAAAACATCGAAGACTGCGAAGCTGTGGTCGGGTCGCTGATCAAAAAATAAAACTGTAACTATGGCGTCAGTTACTTGTTACCTAATTATTTAGATCTACCTATAAATAATAATATCTTACCTTTCGGTATCTTTAGGAACAGTACAGAATGAAAAGCCGACATTTCTATTGTTATTTAAGCACCCGTATACTATGCAGTACCTTTGGGCTTTTTGAGAGGCCATACTTGAATAAAAACTCAAAAAAAAATATCAAAAGTGCTTAAGTACTTATAAGAGAAAAATATATTTTTGTTAAGGCGCGCGTCAATAGAGCGCGCGCGTGACAGCTTCACGGAAATAGCCTCTCGTAGGCGGCCGAGCATAGTGTTGCAATAGTTCCCGATTTATCGGGAAATCTACTGATTTTGGTTATTGTCTCCCGAATATCCCGATTTAGTGACCGTGTCTCCCGATTTTTTTACATTTTCAACTAATGCAAAATAATATTTATACATAAAATTGAAAAATAATATTCTAAAATCAGCAACACTAAACTGAACCTTTAACACAAAATCTATGTACGGGGACTTCCCAAAATAGTTCGCACCACATCCTATTGGACATATACCTACACCCTTATTAATAATAATAATAATAAAATAATAAAAATGTAAATTCTGTCAGTAAATCTTTTTTACAATTGATTTGCCAAGGCCTCCCAGAAAGTAATCCTAAGATACTTGTGTTGGGAGTGCCTCGCTCTTCCTATGCAATCATAACACTTCGATTTACATTATAATATCAAAATAGCCAAATTTGATTTAATAGAACAGAGTTACATAATTAATAGAGAGAAAGGAGTTTATGAGAAATGAATACCTGAGTAGTTGAATCCGTAGTGTGTGTGCGTGTGTGTGTGTGTGTGTGTGTGTGTGTGTGTGTGTGTGTGCGCGTGTGTGTGAGTGTCTCTGTGTGTGTATGTGAGTGAATGATTTGTTTATGTGTATATGCACGTATGTGAATGGTTGTGTATGTGTGCAAGTTTATGAATGTGTCTCACCCACTGATTTGTGTTGTGTATGTGTGTTATTTACAGCAGGTTCAACTCTTTCTTACCAAAATGTCTTCCACTTATTAGGTTATTGACTTCGCGGTATGCTTAAAGCAAATTGCACTGAAATATCTTAAAATAGAATTCATTGTTGTCTGGTGAGTGTACGAGGGAAATCCCTAAAGGAAACTTTGTTCGGGTTGGTTTTCGAATTAGGTAGCTTGAGTCGTGTATATTTATATATAGTATTATACGTTCATAGAATAGAATTGTATTCACTAATTACTTGCCTCCTTCTATTTAGATTTAGAAAATGTCGACTATAAAACCCATGCAACTTTTTAAATATTAAAGATGTTTTTTACGGAGCAAATGCCATTAACACTTTGCTTACAGATAAAACATTAACTTTGTAACAAATCCACTTGTTAAGAATCAAACAAGATGTATTTAAATAATTTCAATGTATATGCATAATATAATATTAAAATAATAATATAATGTTAATGCGTCAGCCCAGGCTCGGTAGTACTCCTGCTTATGGCGTGATGCAATTTTACAGGAGTTACCAAACCATGATTGAGTTCTGCCTCCGATAGGCACCACAGATGTTGGAATAACTAGTTCCAATCCCAGAAGTACCACATCAGGGACAGAATCAGCAACAACATTGAGATCATCCGGCGAGAAGCAAACTCAAGGGTAGGATGCAAAAAAAGACCGCATCCTGTCCCAATCGGCCGACATATAGTGCCAAACACGGCGGCAACCTGTAGGACACAACCACGATGGGAACGTGAGTGGTATCGTACTCCGGATTTGACAATGGTCCGAAGAGATAAGAGTGTCATCGACGGAGACCTGATATCCGTATGGATGAGAGGTCTGCAGAAGGTCCAACGGGGAAGGTATATGATCCACCACATTAGGGATCGTATGTGAAGTAGCCAGTTGTCAGACCATATGCCAGGCAAAGTCATAAACAGATCTACCCGCATGATCGGTTAAATGGGAACCAGACTATTTAGCGTGGTGGGCGTTAAAATCACCGAGAATCACGATCTCCGCGGACAGGACCTGTTGTAGCACGGAGTCTAAGAAAATACAACTGCGTGGCGTATTTACACAGAGGAATACACAGAGGAAAATAACAAGTTCCTGCGAAAACTTTTAGTTTTGAAAAATATTAGTGACGATAATATAATATTATTATATATAAAAACACAGTTTTAAAGTAGATATAACAATAAAACCACTTGAATTCTTAAAAAAATCATTTATATGTACCTACTAGCAATTACAAAGATGTTATAATAAATCCCTATTTATTATATAAATAATTTAAATTTTTATATAAATATTTTAAAATATTTTAAATTTTATTTCATAAAATATAAAAATACAACATTAACGTCAAAACTGTTTCTAAAGCTGCATTAGAATATATCCAAAAAATGTGATCGACTACTTAATTACTTATAGGTTTTCTCAAATATAAAAATAATAATTTTTACTTTCCGTGTCAAAAATATATCCGAAGTGTGGTCAACTCCATTGGAGCAAAATTACCATTATTAATGTTAATAATTGGTGTTCCTTCATTCGTGCCACATAAGTTCGTTTGATAAACTGCTTTTACATTACGAAATATTTTCTCCAATGAAAAGGTTCCATCCCCATTACAATTTTGTTGCATATAATGACTTATTTCACACGTGAAGCTCTGTCGATGCAATGTTAGTAGAGCGGTGTTTACGGACAGTCTTTCTAGTGAACCTTTGTTCAATATTAATCTATAATTTAAAACAAAAATATCACACGGAAATGCAGTTTTAATCAATGGAAGAAACGCATAGTAACAAAGATCTGCTTGAGATCTGTCAATAAAATATACATCTAAGTTATAATTTAGTGTATTGGCTAAATATAATGCATTTAAACTAGGCAATTGTACATTAGTGTTTTCATCGACAATGTTTAATGTCTTAGAATTTATGAAATTTTCTAATAATAAAATATGTTTGTGATACGTAGTACTACTGTCAGCTAGACCTTCACCTGAACCACGAGCATCATTGAAAAGAACCCTACGATCTAACATAATTACTAATTGACCCTCCTGTAAAGATGTTACTCCTTGAGCGTGATCGGTCAATACCGTTAGGCGATTTTGGTGGTCTTGTATAAAAACCATACTAGTTATAGGGTACATATTTGATTCCACTCGTCTGCTTATATTTATAAGCCGAGGTGTGTATTGAAAACCATTGTTATCAATTATTAACTCAGGTGGATTACCATTATTTATATTAGTTTGTATAGATAAAAACAGTTCCAATTCTCTGTTTTTTGGCGATGCTTCGTAATCTGTTTTACTTTCCAAAAAAATTGCAGTTGAAAGAGGACTGTTGATTAAATTAAATATTCTAAAGGTACTTTGCAAGATTCGGCCAAAAATTGTGGTTATTTCTGTTGTTACTTGTCCAGAAATTATTAAAACAATTTTGGATTTAGTACCAACACGATAAGGTAATAAAATATCTTGGAGTGGCTTAGAAGCGTTCGTGTTAAATAAGAACATACCCGAATTTATATCGGAACTTCTAAAAGCACCATAATCAATAACTACAGCTTTTTTATTATTCGTATCTTTTTCAACTACTGTTTTTAAAAAACCGGAGATTTCATCAAATATGAGCCGATGTTTATAACTCTCTAGCTGAATGTCTCCATTTTCTATTGGTTCAATGTTAAAAGGAAATATCGGTCCATTAGCAGGGGTGTCATCCACTACACATGAAACACAGTAAATTGTGGCAGCACTTGAAGAAGCATCATAAGTTTCCTTTATTTTGAACAGTTCTAGCGTTAAGGGTGGCACAACTATTTCGAAGGCGACCACAAAAAACTGCCTTGAAATCTTTATAATATTTCCTGTTTGATAGTTCCATATAGGATTTATTTGTATCGTAACATCATTTCTATTATGGTCTATTATTCTAATATTAGGGTTTCGGGTAACTAATTCCACTATCTCTGTCCTTTCATGGCTTAAAGAGTTAAATATATATATTTGATCTCCTGAAGTAACAGTTCTAAAAGCTGAGATAAATTCTCCATCTCTGTACACATATTTCTGAAGATAAGTCACATTTTGATCGGATTTTATGCTTATCAAACTTGCGCTGGTTTCTTGTATATACCAACAATCTTTGACAGTCACCAATATTTGCTTATGAACATATTTTAAAATATTTGCTGTCAAAGTACCGCTTACAACATTTCGATCAAGTAAGCGAGCAGTTGTTTCTCTTGCCTTTATCAAAATATTGAATAATTCTGAAACATTATTTCCCCTAAAAGCATTAGAACTTAAAGCAAAAGAAAAAAGAATCTCCGTTGTACGTAGAGTACATTGAAGACGCCTTAAGAGAATTTTAAGCAAAGGTCGTGTCGTAAAAAAGCCTGACCAGTATGCCGGAGTACCATTACTGATATCAGCAAAATTTAGAAAATCTCCCTTTAGAGTAGGATATAATTTTTGTTTTTCAAAGATACTGCTAAAATAGTCTTTTGGAGTGCCAAATTGTATTGTTGCTTTATATATTTCGCGATTAACATTAACAAAATCAGCAATTTTTTGATAGTTACTAAATTGGTAATCGAACTCTGTTTGTACCTCATAATGGTACGGCCCTCCTAAAGGAGCAATAATTACGTTATGAGGTGTAATAGTGCCTGTTTTAGAGTACTGTTCAAGGAGTATTTCAGATTTTTCTTTAACATTATAAGTATTGATGACTACGTTTTTGCTTGATTTTGCAAAATTATAGTGTGAGATACACACATTTTTATCAGGTCCACAAGCTTTAAATCCATCCGAATTGAACTGCAGAAAGTGAGTAATTACTGAGTTTTTTGGAAATCTTTCCTTGCCGATCTTATTTAGGGCATCATCGAGATTTGATTGACTATAAATATTATTATCCCAGCTCTGTACCCAAATAAAATCACTGTACTGATATTCAGCCAAATATTTTTCCCAAGAATAATGAATATTAGTAAAAACAAGGTTAGATATTCCACATGCAGATAGTAAAAAGGTCATAGTAGGACTATGAGTAACACTGTTTGTTAGCCACGCTGTTTTTGGGACGATATTTAAATGATGTTTCAGCCACAGGTGTCCTAAAAAAATAAAAATTTTATTGTAACTATTTATGAGGGTAGCTTATTTACGAATATTATATTTATAACCTTCCATTAGTTGATGTAGAAGTCCAAATATATGCGTTGTTGCTTCATCAGTTTCTACCCATCCCCCTGTAGTTATTTCAATTCGTCCGGTTCGCACCAAACGACGAAACGCCTGCAATTTAAACTTACTAAATTTTATTCTCAAAAACTCACACAATTCATGAATAGCCCATATACCTGTCAGATATCATACCGAACGATTTTTTTGAGTAGTCGTTTGCCACCATTGGCTTAAATGCGATACTTCGTTCCAAGTAAATGTAAGATTGCTGTAAAACTGTAGCTTCTTTACCAAATTAGATATAATTTTATTAACACTATTATTGTGATATTGTTCAAAGGTATGTTTCCAGATTGAGTCGACATGAGTATACGGCACTAAAATAACCTGTTAAACAAAAATATACAAATATTTATAAATCATTGACCATACGCTACAACATTTTTAAAAAACATTTTTTGAGTGTCTTATTTAATTGCTTATTTACAAAATATAGTACTAACTAAAGTAGTTTGTAAATATAATATTAAGATAAGTACAGAAGAAGAACAGTTGCAGGAAATAACGAAAATTGCGGATTGTGGTAATTACTTTTAACGGTGGCCATTTTGAATTCCTCATTAAGGACTCGTAACGGCTGTCGAAGATGTTGTTCCAAAAATGTTTCTTCATAACCCAAGGAGGCTTTAAAAAGAAAAAAAGGAAAGTTTTTATTGTTAACTCAATAACACGCCACAATGACTTATTAAGGTATAAAAAGGAATAATTTTAATATATCTTCTACATTAGTTGTCAGCTTCACCCAACGGAAGAGGTAGCATTTTGCCATAACTACCACCGTTGGCAAGTTGATTGGCGATCTCGTTTAACTGATATCCCACACCTTTGATGCCTGTCAAAGGTGTGGGATATCAGCCTGCGACCACATTGCCTGAACCTTATAATTAGTTAATGTTTCTAAATAACGCTTACAATTACTCACATTAAACAATATCGTTACGAATCGTTACCCACTCTGGTAATTCCTCATGTTTCGTCAAAGTAAAAGGTAAACAAAAATAAACTGTATAAATACCATATCTAATAAAGACTATTTATATTGAAAGGTAATGACGATTATATATCTAACTAGAAATGACCCGCGTATTATGTTTTGAGTTATATACTAGCTGTTCCCCGCGAATTCGCCCGTGTGCAATTTAGTGTTTTCATTTTTTTTTTTGCAAGGAATCCTAATTATTTTTCTGTAATAAAAGTAGCCTAAGTTACTCCTTATGACATCAGATATATGCCAGTGAAAGTCCCGTCAAAATCGGTCCAGCCGTTTCGGAGATTACCCGGAACAAACAGACAGACAGACAAAAATTTTAAAAAGTGTATTTTTGTTATAACTACCGTTTATACTTTCATATGCATTTAGTAAAACGCTGTAATTTTGACATTACAAATAAACACATATGTATATATAATATCTTACAGCAATATTATAAAAAACTGTTAAAATTTATATTTTACAGTTATAACAATTTCGATGAAATTTTTTTTATAGGGTAGGGTGACAAGCGAGCACACAGTCCACCCGATGGTAAGTAGTTGCTGTGGCCCATAGACATCTACATCTATGCTCGTTTGCGAATCAAAATGCACATGCGTTGTCACCCGTGAGGACTAAGATGGAATGCCTCTTTTCCAGTAAAAAGGGTAAAATTTCAGTATAGGGGTTAACGGAGAGAAAAATCGATGTAGATAGATGTACTTAGTCTTAGTTCTTGCTTCTGGAAAAATTTGTTTCAAAACAGCACGTGTACTACGCATTTGTTTTAGCTTTGGTCGATTGTAAGAGTTGCTTGTGTCTTGTATTCTTGCATAAAAATCTTAATCTTGTTGTGATTTTGTGGAATAAACATAAGAAAGTGTTTTTTTTTCGTACAATTCAAAAAGGTTATGTATTGTTTCAAGGTGTCCTAGATTAGCCCAGTCATTGAATTAAAAAAAAATTATTTTCTACTGCCGCGGCAACACACATCGCGATGACACAAATATTCGCGTTATTGCGATGTACGTGGCCACATATTCGAGAATACTTTGTCATTTCGTGCGAAGCCGCAAGTAAATCGCTTCGCTGTCGGTGAACTCTCGCATGTCAAAGCGTTTTCGAATGAACTTCGCTTGTGCGGCCACACTTCAGCTTCAGGCGGCCTACAAATATCGTGCGTAGCAGTCGTGTAGAATTAAATTAGAATTTACGACGTATTTTCAACAGTGACAATTTTTTGAAGTAATGACATATTTGTAATAAATACTAATAGTGAATCAACTCGGCGACTAGACAGAGCAACGATGGGGCACGGTATGAAGAAGAGCGGGGACCTCACTATCTGCGACCCCTGCGGTAGTACCGGTCGGCTTCGCTTGCGTACCGGTACGCCAGTTTAGGAGTGTCACGTACACGAAATCAGTTGTACTCGGTATTCTTTTGAAATATTGGGAAAAGATTGTATGACTGCTTAAGTAAAAATGAATTCTAATAACCATGTGATTGCTTTTTATCACAATTTTTAATTGAATTATATAAGGATGAGAATTCATTATATCATTAAATTCAACAAAAGACAATTAAAAAAAACCCAAAAATAAATGTCGTAAATATTTGTCGGTTACACATCTGTAACGAGGCGGTTGAATAAACAGAACCAACGTATAATTTTAACCTGTTTTATTTATTCTGTTCAATGCACTACCCAATATCTTAAGCGGAATACCTGAGATATTGCTATATAGGTAAAATATAGTAAAATTAGGTAAGTATCAACCAGCATAAGCCTTTTTTCCATCACGACTAACCAGGTGAAGCTGCGAAACGCAACTAGATTTGTAAAGTGGTAATTATTTTGTATCTTTGTGTAGAAAAATAAATTATTACGAAGAATACAGATAAAATAAAATGTTATTATTTAAGGAAATGTTTTTGTGACAACCCTTGCATATTTTTACCGACAGCCTTGTAGGTATTTTGCCGTATGACAAAGGAGTTGACCCACTATTAGTAGATTTATTACACATATAATAATGAGAAGGTAAATAATTTGATGAGACATTTTGAATAAATAATGCAGGCATCTAAAGCTGTTCCCTGTTGCCAAAAATGTAGTAAAAAATAATTATTCGATGCCATCTAATATAGAGCGATCGCAGCGTTTACTTTGTGTTTAGCATGTATTTATCGCGATAAACTATCCAGCACCGTGGCCAGTGGCAAGTGACCAGGCACCATCGCCGTAGGCCGAAGGCAAAGTTTTATCGCCGGAATTCTATCACGATGTGTGTGGCCCAGGCATACTAGGTACTAACTACATTGTGTATATGAGCATCTAGTCAGTGTTGTTGTGTTATATATCTAGCACACCTATGTATAATCTATGTATAATATAAACAGTTTTTTCTTTGTCACAAACATTTCTACCGCAATAAAATTATTTTTATAAGAAATATTACACATTTGTAAAATAAAAATAAATATTACACATTATATGTATTACATGATGTGTACATTTATAGAATATGACCGCGTCATGCTTTATTGGGACCGGGCCATACTAAATGTACTGTCTTTTTTTTGCAAATAACCCTGTAATCATGTTGATGAAACAGTCACAGTTGAGCAATTCTTGCGAACAAGCTTGATTCTTAAACCTAAACAAGCCCAAAAAAAGACAAAACATATAGTATTTCAGGTGTCGTTTCTGCGACTGGTGAAAACAGTAGCTTCTCTGGACATCTAACATATCTCTGTCTGTCGACTACGCGTACTGACCCTGGCGTTGATTGCTATCGGCTATCGTTATGGTACGTACGTTCATGCTTAAATATAAAAGCTTGTGCTTCTTGATATCGGACATTGGTTTCTTTCTTTTTCCTTCTAACCCTCGGACGCTTAGACTCCTCAGCCGAGGGATTGCGTCTTTATAAAAACACTGCTTGACATGGGCTTTTTCCGTTGAAGAGGATTTGCCTTCATCGTCACAAGCGTGTGCAGGCTTGGCCATGCTACCTGTCGCCGCGCGGCGGTTTGGCGTATTTTATGTCTGGCGTAAACGAGATGGTGTGCCGCTATTTATCGAAAGCCATAATATTTTTCTGGCATCTCCCATAGTCGCCTCTTAAGCACCCACGAGCCGGGGAGTGATGGATTCTCTTTTCCCCCAACCAAATGATCTGATGCGCGGAGGCCATTGAGCCAGGAAAAACGAGCACACTCGGTAGCACTCGCCTTTCAAACCTAGAGGCTGATTTGTTCTATAGCTCTGCCGCTAACCAAGATTCGGCCGCAGAGGGTAGGGAGAGCGGCGCCTCACAATAGCATTTACTCCTGTTCCTTCATGGCCCCTACTACCACCGCAGCAACGGTGCGGCTACGCCAGAGTCGCGGAGAATAGGACGCGTGGCGCCTCGTCATACCAAAGGCGGGAACCCGTTCGGGGAGTTATTAACCTAACCTAACCTAAACATAAAATTATGCGTAAGAACGGAACGTCGGCGTGAAAACCAGATAAAGAAAACGCTAACTGTAACCGTTTCAGCACATTCAAAAAACATCTATGCATAAATTGTAGTGTAGCGAATTTTTTATTATTATAAATTTTTATTTTACCCTACACTTCGATTTTTAAAAATTTGTGTAGGGCGTCCCCCCACTAGATGGAGTGACGACCTGGTAAGATATGCAGGAAGTCGATGGATGCAGGTGGCTCAGGACCGTGCTTTGTGGCATTCCTTGGGGGAGGCCTATGTTCAGCAGTGGACTTGCGAAGGGCTGTAATAATGGTGATGATGATAAATTGTATGCAACAACGTCTCACCGTTTCGTACCACTAGACCGTTTCGTCACCGTCCCACATTGTAGCGTACCATGACCAAACCGACAGCGAATTCACTAATCACAAAGTGAATATTTGGCAGCTACCAAAACTCTCCGTGTATGGCACTCGACGTTACAAAATTGGATTATTATGATTACGATTCAATTTCGGACCTAAAATGAATAGCTTTCCCATTGCGTAACATGACGACGTCAAATAATCCGATCCACTTAAGGTAATATACAATATTTTATTATATACAATATTAAAAACTATAATAATAATTAAAAAAAAACTAAAACTATAAACTTAATTATCATATAGTCCTACTTCCCGCGGTATCGTACCAAGAACGCTGGCTGCGTTTACCCGCTGAATGGCTATACTTAGCCTTTGAGCGAGAAAAGAACCAGCCCTCTTATCACCAGCAGCAACGACCAGCCGCTGATGGAGTTCCTTTAGGAACTTCACCGCGCTTGGACCCCACGAACCTATAGTCTCTACAGCAAATGGCACAAATATGTAGTTACCTCTCAGAGACTCATATTTGAGCCACTCAGTTCAACTGCCTCTGACGCCGCCCCGGTTCTAAACGAGGTACCCCTGAGATGAGAGGGATCATCCCTGTATGTATTCTTTTCGTTAATTCGATGTCGGTCCGTTCATGGCACGCTACGGTATTTGTTGGTGGCGGGATGGTGATAGTAGGCGTCGTTGTTGAACTAAATTATTAACTTATACGAAATATTTTTTTTTGTCATGATATAGAAATTAACAAAAAAATAAATTAATTTTAACTAATATTCACGTTGTTGTGGATGAGAGACCTTAATAGAGAATAATACTGTAGAAAATGCTTACCTCAATTTCGAATTCCGAAAATTTTTCCTGCGCATCGATGTCTGCTTTATACTGTTGTAAAGTTACACATGTGTGACGGTTAAAAGGTATACTGTAGTTATATAAGGGGAAGACATTGGGAGTTCCTTCTTCAATTAAAAAATCAACTTTATCAGAGTCAACATCGAATTCCTGAAGTTTTTGCACATGTAAATCATTTATGTCTGAAGATTTTTCATTAACATCGGTATTTATTACAAACATCCCTTTTTCACTATTTTTTGTATGGGACTCTTGATTCCCTAATTTAAGCATCGGTTTTCCTTTATCATCTATTTTATCATTTATTTTTACTTTCGCTCTTTGTATAATTTGTTCATCAACCAGAGGAAAAAACCTGGACGGCTTTGGTATTTCGTAAAAGGAATTTACAGTTAATTCTTGTGTGTAACTATTATTGTTTATTTTATCTAATTTGTTGTCTTCGGGAAACAGAACGCTATTTGATGGCGAAATTTTGGTTAATGTTTCGCGGGCTAGCCTAAGCTCATTCGGATGCAGGTTTCCTCGTATACCCATTTTAAATTTAGAGTAACCTGAAGCACCACGGGTAGTATCTACTGCAGATAAAATGGTTGACATTTTAGGACGCTGCTTTTTATGTAATACTTGTTTTACTTGGGAAACACCTGAAAATAAGGCTTCGTGGACTTTAGTTCGATAAGGGCCTGAAGACAGTGAAACATTTTTCCAAACCGCTCCTTCCATTTCACTAAATGGCCTCTGAACCATTTTTGACTGGCTTCGTACGATTTTACGCAAAGCTGTTAAATCAATTTAGTAATTAAAGCGCGTACACGTTTATTAATTAAGGACGAAATAAAAAGTTAAAATAATTGCATCAATATAATATATAAATACTTATATAATATAACGTAGGGTACTTACTTTTTTCATATCCATTAACGGTAAAAACTAATAACAGAACTATAAAAAATCCAACTTTCAAACCACATATACTTTTTCCATAAGCCATGCCTTGAAATGCAGCCAGACTATGACTGGTTACGAATTACACCATCATAAGGATGTTTAAAAATTGGATCGACACAACAAGACTCGAACTATCAATCACAATGTTATGAATGTTAACCGACAATTGCGAGTAACGACGGAAACTGTTTAATTAACAACGCAACAGCTTTGTATGTGTTTTTTTTTTGTTTAACTTATACTCCCAGTATGAGAGTTTTAAAACAATACTAAATATATATTTTGTTTGAATCGTACACTAATATTGCAATAGTACTTATTCGTGTTTGTTAGTTTATACTGAATATGACTGAAATACCCACCTGAGCCTTTACATAGTACATAAATATAAACTGTCTGGCATGTTACCCAGAGGGGTAGGCAGATATTACAGACTTCCATTGGGTACGATTCTGGCACACCTCTCTCGTTTCTTTCAAATATTTTGTATATGAATACGTGCTCGTCAGTTGAAGGTACTCTAAACTTGGTCCATCTTCAATATAAGTATTACGAATTTGATCAATAAACTTTCATCTAGTACTAGTGTAGTGCAGACTCGTACTAGTAGTACTTTCACTCACTCCTGTTGCATAAATCTGCTTCATCACTCGTTCTCATTCATTATTTCTACGTGTCCAAACCACTGAAGCCTTCCTTTCTTAATCATAGCCACAAAATTTTGTAAACCACACTTTTCTCTTATTACACAATTTCTTCTCGAATGACGACAGAAATCGAAACAGTAGATACTAACGCATACGGTAGGGATTAAAATAGCATCGTGAATGAAAATACCTGCTTTTATTGACACATTTTGACTTTCCACAATAGAATTAAGAATCCTATTTACTCCAAGTCATGCATTCACTTTTCGTTTAATATCCTTGTCACATCTACCACCTCTCCTTAACACACATTCTAAATACACAAACTCGCCTACTTGCTCGATCACCTCGCCTTAAATTCTTATTTCACATATCGTTTTCCTTTCTTTCCTCTAAAAACCATCACATTCAATTTCAATCAAAAATCCTTTGATGATACGTGTATTAATGTAAATGTAACCATCATTTGCCACTCGCGCGCCTGCAAGAAATATTACTTGACTGTCGGCGTACAAAAGTCATTTGCGACTATCACACCCATACTTAACCCACATTCTTTGACTTTAAAAATTTCCAAACAACTATCCCTAAACAGATTGAACAGCAACGGGGAAGTCACACAACCCTGTCTGACAACTTTATGAATTCTAAGCCAGTCCGTGTAGGCATTGTTTCCTTACACAAGCACTAAATTCCCTTTAAAGAGATTTTAATACCTATCAGCCACGCTCAACACTGCATGTATGCATCCATGTCCACTCTGTTATAGGCCTTTTCTAACTCTGAGAATGCACAGAATCATTCAGTTATATGTACTACGTACTAGAGAAGCCATTCCGAACATTGACTATGTTCAACTGAACTGTAGTGCAATCCATACAAACTAAATATTGCGTAAATTGTAGATTTGTGAATTCCATAAAATAATTATTATTACATTTTATTTAAAAATATGTTTGTTTAGATTAAATTGAGATATTTTATATTAACTATATTTATTTTATATTAATATCTTATTTTATATCAAATTAAAGTCTTCGCACATGCGCGACTACTACTCCCGCGCATGCGCGAAGACATAGAGTAGGACACAATTTTTGTTTGGAATGGCTTCTCTAGTACGTAGTACATATAATTCAATGCACAGAATACTTTCTAGTTTTACACCAAAGTCTCTTTGATCATGCGGATAACAAAGACCATAATCGTATAGGCTTGCACATACCAAATTTTCCCTCAAGTTTCTTTCAGAACTCTTTATGTAAGCTAAGCAGTTTGCATTCAATTAGTATTTACAGTCCTTCTGTGATGATTCTCTCCCCTTAAATAGTGGAATGGAACTATAACTGTTTTGCTCCAGTCTCGAAAGTGTACAGCAGGCTTGCCACCTCTCCCTCTTCAGCACTCAGAATTTCTTAAGTCATGTTGTGATATTCCACTGCCATACACGTATTACACATATTAACACGTGGTAGAGCCATGCTGCAGCTATATTAGTAGTATAGTTGTAGCACGAATGGGTCGGCTCGACCGGGGAAGGACCACGCTCTCACAGAATACCACTACCAGCGTAAAATAGCAGCTTAATGCTGCTGTTTCGAATGGTGAGTGTAAGGAATCGGAGACCCTTTTTACTGGAAAAGAGGCATTCCGTCTTAGTCCTCACGGGTGACTACGCATCTGCATTTTCATTCACAAACGAGGATAAATGTAGATGTCTATGGGCTACAGCAACCACTTACCATCAGGTGGACTGTGTGCTCGTTTGTCACCCTATCCTATAAAAAAAAATACCCGCTGTCATGCTTTTCATTACTTTCATTTCATCCATAAAAGTTACAGCCTATATATGTCCCACAGCTGGGCACAGTGTTCCTCTTAATTCTGAGATGGTTTTAGGTTAAGAAAGTGTCCGCCGCGCTGCCCCAATGCGCGTTGGCGAACTTCACATGACTTCGAAATATTTTGTTATTTTTCAGATCAGACATGCAAGTTTCGTCACGATGTTTTCCTTCACCGCCGAGCAACCAATCAGCACTTAAAATTGCAGTTAACAATTTCAATAGTGCCGGCGGGGATCGAACCCGGTTTGTTGCGTGTACTGTGAAATTTACATCGGGCGCTAACTATCTGAAGGCCACGGCTAATCATCCACTTACGTTGATACCTCCTTTTTCTTTAGGAATTTCTGGTTGATTAACTTTAGATTCCTATTTTTATGTTGGATAGATATTAAGAAGACTTTAAAATAATTATATACTGAAGATCCTTACTTCAATTCTCTGGGTTTTAATGTTTTTTATAGTTACCGTCGATCACACCTTAACTAAATTGTATAAACGAACTATAAGGCAACAAAGGCGCTTAAATCCATACAGCGATTTAAAAAATGACCAGATAATACCAGTGTACAAATTGCAGTAAAGAATTAAGGGGAAAATTGTCTACATCATTAAAACAATATAATGTTTCCTTTAGTGAATTATATTGAATACATTTGCTACCATACATTTCTTTGAAGCTCATTTTCTCATTTCCATAAATTTGTCGTTTGATTTATTGTTTTTAACTCTGGACAGATTTTATCAATTCACTTATGTATACTTAATTCACGCATTACACACATGATTTATAGAGAAAAATAGAGAATATTAAAAATAATTTTAAAGTTAAACAATATTTACGACTGCGCAGTAGAAAGATGTGAAGTTTGCGCGGTTTTATTCCCCACGTTCTATCAAAATTGGGCGGGACGAATGTATTGATCCAAATCAACCCCAAACAATGGCTTCCATTTGAATGCCGGCCCATACCGGTGACGTATTGTTGTTTACATCAATCAGTAACATTAGAAACTTAAGTATATCAATTTTTATATTATGGTAAGTTATAGTTTAGTTCATAAAAATTTATATAATTAAAATGTGTTTTATTTATAAATTTCTGTGTGCGTAAACAGAATCACACAAGCGCGTGTTTGTATATGATTATGTTTAAATCCCATACAAATTGGACCCATTATCAAAAATTTACCAACAGTTAAAATTATTTGTTAATGTTTTTACTCAGTTCCTAGTTATATTATGTGCGGTGTTTTTTGTTTATCAGTTTACGAGATTTAACCCGTTAATTAAATTCTTCTGCTGTGGATACTGCCCCCTGTCGTCGCCGGTCTGGTTTAATTACGTTTCTAACAAATAAACGATAAAAAATAATCACTACCACAATATAATAAACACAGTAGTATTTATAGAATAAGGGCGACAAAAGAGCACACAGTCCACCTGATGGTAAGTGGATACTGTGGTCCATAGATATCTACATTTATTCTCCATTAAAATCAAAATGCAGATGCGTTGTCACCCTTGAGGACTACGCTGGAATACCTCGTAACTAGTAAAAAGAGTCTCCGGTTCTCTACAATCACCACATGAAACAGCAGCTTGGAGCTGCTATTTTACGGTGGTATTCTGTTAAAACGTGGTCTTTCCCCAGTCGAGCCAACTAAATCGTGCTACATCCATAATATAGCTGCAGCTTGGCTCTTCTTCTTTAAAGTTTTTTTGTAATGCATTTTATTTTAAACTATAACATTATATTTTAAATAAACCTTTTTTATATGGTAATATACTTATTTGTAGGATACGAACGCTATGAGCACTTCCGGTCTACTGGAGTGGGAATTTTCGTTGCCCTCCGATCAGATAATTTCCCATGCCTGGTTCCACGGTGCTTTGAGTCGTACCGCCGCCGAGAGTTTGCTACAACATGACCGAGAATTTTTAGTGAGGGAGTCCTCTTCTCAGCCCGACAACTTTGTCCTTAGCTGTCGGTCTAATGGACAGCATTTGCACTTTGTCATCCAACGGGTTAGTTACAATCATTATAAAAGTAATAAGTTTAATTTATACTTATTTCTAATTACATAAGTTATTTTCAGATTGTCGTCCATCCTGAAACTGTTTATGAGAGATGTCAATACCAGTTCGAAGATGAAGCATATGATACAGTTGCTGATCTTATAACTTCCTACGTTGGTTCTGGAAAGCCAATATCAGCGGCTTCTGGTGCCAGAATACAATATCCAGCTAATCGTGTTGTACCCTTGACCAACTACATGCCTAATGAGAATATGAATTCTGCAGTATCTCCTATAGGCGAAGTTTCAGGATACGGCAACCCTTATAGCTTATACAGTCATTTCGCGTCCAAGCCGGGTATGCAATTGCGAATACCCTTTAAGAAACAAAGATCTCACTCTTTGACTCCAATAGATATAGCCCACCATGTCACTCACGGTAAAAGTGCGAGTGCCGATGGCGTTATTCTAAGTCAAACGAATAAACACCTTAAACATTTTTCAAGCGAATCAAATTCCGGTTCCGGATCATGGGATCCGAATTTGCCTATCAGCCCGCCCGCAAAACCAGCTCGGTATGACGGACCGAAAGCTGATGATAGGCGACTTGAACTTCAAAGACTTTATCAGGTATCTGGCTCTGATTCTGGGAACGGATCCGGTGATTCTACTCAAAGCTCCGCTCACAGTGACCCTAATAAATCAAGAATGGACTTGGACTACAATTTAGTAACACCCACAATGAAGCAGCAATTTGATTATGAACTCACTGAAGCTAAGTTATTGCAGGCTGAAAATTTAGAGTACATAATAGAATCAAGAATAAACTTGGAAAACTTTCAGTCACAGATTATAATGACAAATCTCACTAAACCGCTAGAATCCGAAACATTACATACTATAAAACTTTTGTTGCGTACATCTGGCCCGCGGATTTTAGCGAATCATATGGCAAAAGTTGACCTGCAATTCCTACTAGAGGAAGCAATTCAAATTGAAGGTCTCGACAAAACAGCATCAGGTTTAGAGCTGTGTTTTTTACCACAGGGTCGATCTCTAAGGATGGATGTGATCGAAAGGTTTGTCTTTCAACGTAGTATGCGTAGTTACTGTAACTAGTAGATATAATTATCCTTTTGATTTTCAGAATTGAAACATTTCGTCTCCTCGTTGCCGTGACCATATTGACCTGCCAAAGTGATAGACAAAGAGCAGATACTATTAACGATTGGATACTGTTAGCAGTTGAAACGAAGACTGCTCTAGGGAACCTGTATGGTTTCTCAGCTATAATGTTCGGTCTTTGTATGCCCCAGGTAAATGATCTTTTGGTTTAACTAACTTTTTTCTTTCTTCAATGTATATGAAACTGAGATGTTGTCTTTTACTGCTAAAATTATAAGATTGTTTATAGTCGCTCAGCGAGTTACTACCAACAAATTTGAAAGTTTTGAATGGTTTAGATTTAAAATAGGACCCGACAGGTGGTGTTGTTGTTGAGATCCAGAAATCACCCGTTTGAAGCCGGGGCGGATCGCATGTTGTTATAATTGTTATCTTACTAATTCAGGTGGAGTGTTTAGAAAACGCTTGGAGCATACTTCGTCAAGTTAACACAGACAACGCCTTTATGTTCGAAGCCAAATTGAGGCCATGTTTCAAAAGCATGAATGAGGGTACGAATCCTTTACCTCCAAACACGACCACGCCGTATGTGTTACCGCCAGTTCTTTGCTTCCATATGTTTGGTAAGTTGATTTTTTTTTATGTGGAGTACAGGACCGAAGAATCATTTATGAAAAAGGAATTTTTCAGTTCAAACGCATACTAAGAAGACTAAGGCCGAATTTTTCAATCGTAAGATGAGTGAATACTTAAAATATAACCTGAAAGAATACAAAAGTGAAACAAATGAACTATTCTCTTCATACAACTGTAATATGTACCGTGTAGTGGCTGTATCAGAATATCCACTACCCCATATCGTCTCGTGGGTCTCCTGATTTGTTTCCCTCTGTCACCTCACAGAGGGAACAAATCAGTAGATTGGTAGCAGCATCTTCCTAATAACAAGTACACAAAAGAGGTTATTAATTTAGACCAGATTTATAGACCTAAAAACGCCGCGTAGTCGAGCCTGCGAGTGTTTTTGTGTTAAACCCGTAGCTAAAATTGGTAAACATCATTTTTAATCATTATTATTTGTTTTAAACAGGGCAAATGATAACAAAATTGTTAATTGCAATTTGTAGTGGTGGTAATTTATAACGTGCCGGCGCGGCGGTGAAGGCAAACACCATGAGGTAGCCTGCATGTCTAAAAAAAAAACGAAGACTTGTCAAGTTCACCAACACGCATTGCGGCAGCGCAGCAGATAACTCTCTCAGAAATTAGAGGAGGCCTGTGCTTGGGCACTATAATATTTACTTTATTTTTTAAATAATCACAAAAACCTTAACTCTTTAACAGATGGCGACGGCGGTGGTTTGATGCAACCAGATGAAACTTTCCCAAGCAGTCTAATGAATACGCTAGAGTTCGACTTTAATACTACAGCAGCTCACTTAGATGCGGCAAGACACTTCCCTGATCAAGTCGATATGTTCAAAAGAAACGCGAGAACGGTGGTCCAGGAAATGTCATCTCTAGGACCATCTCTGGATCCGGTTTTACTCGAGCTCTTTAGAACTGAATTTCATATAAATTTTCTCTGGGGCGAACGTGGCGCACTGACTACGCCAAATCAAAGATTTGCAAGGCTTACTGACATACTTAGTGCGATGGCTTCTAAATTGATAAATCAGCCCCCGCTTCCAGACGATAGAATTTAAATAAAATTAAATACTTAAAGTTTTATAAAATTTAAACCATATCATCGAAGTGTATGTGCCGGAATATATAATAATCCGTGTTTGTATTACATTGCGTGTAGTCTTAGTTATGTACTTCCATGTCGTTGTGATGATATTATGAACCTACTTCTCATACTCATACATAAATTATTTACATTTATACATTTATGTGATTGAAATAAAAGCGAAAAATAAATAATAATTTGTGATATTTCTGTATGTTTAAAATACGTTTTAACCTTCATTTTTATCACAAAAAGGTACAGTAAAAGCCAATATATAAACAATAAAACGAACTGTAAATTGATAAAATACTAATAAATCTACTTTATCGTCGACTTTGTTTTTTTTATAGGATAGGGTGACAAATGAGCACGCAGTCCACCTGATGGTAAGTGGTTGCTGTGGCCCATAGGCATCTACATCTATCCTCGATGACGGATTGAAAAACAGATGCGTTGTCACCCGTGAGGACTAAGATGGAATGCTTTGTTTCCAGTAAAAAGGGTTTCCGGTTCTCCATACTCACCATAGTAAACGCAGCGTTAAGCTGCTATTTTACGCTGGTATTCTGTGAGAGCGTAGCCCTTCCCCGGTCGAGCCGACCCATTCGTGCTACAACTATATATAGCTGCAGCATTGTTCTGCCAGTATTCTTGTTTACGTTTTAACAATATTAGAAAGAATTGTCAAGCAGAGTATAACGAAGAATAGTTCGCAAAATCCAAAGAAACACGCCTCGTGAACGTTTCATTTAGTTTTGAGGAAAAATATTAATTACCAAAATAAATCGATTACACAAAGTATTAAATCGATTTAGGCTGTATGGTACATTTGCCCTTTGTCTATCACGGGCTAAAGCAGAGATTATCAAACTTATTTTCCACGTTCACATAAACATGACGATGGGAATGCTATCAAAAATCGTTGAACGATCGACCACAATCCAGGGTACAACCGCGGGATTGACTTTTGTAGCCAAAATTCTTGATAGCCATTTTTGAATTTTAATTTTTATTTCCTCGTTCGTTGTCAGTTCTACAAGTTCTTCTTCCAGTTAGGGTGATACTGCTATGTTGACATTTGAATAATGATCTAACACCCAGTCTGGTATTTCCAATTTCAAAATGTCCTGGAATCTTTCAAAGAAATCACTGTGCAGATTTTCCAAATGTTGGCAGTAGACAAGCAAGTCGTCGTTGTTACAGGATACTGATAAATTAGGAAAATTATGGAACTCACGTTTGCCGATATTCTTCTTGTGTAAGAACAGCTTGGCTACGAAAGCAGCGTCGACTTTTTTTGTTTTTATTAAGTTCAAGTCATCGCCTTGAAGTTGGAGATTCATATAATTAAGCAATTTATAAAGGTCTTAATTATTTTTTTAAAAAATAAGTTACCCTCACACTAGGATTTTCTCCTGTATCGTGGAGGCAATTTACAAACATATATTGCACAAGGACAAACATCCAACAATTTATAAAGGTCTGTCAGGTGTGTGATATCATTCTTTGATGTGATGAGGTTGTCGCGCAATTCTGTGTTTTTGTTTTCCAAGAACTCTGCGACAGAGTCAAACAGATTGTAAAATCGAGTCAGACATTTTACTTTTCAAAGCCAACGCACTTCTGTGTGAAAGATCAATCGGTTGAAATCTTCATCATTTTACTAATGCTGTTTGATAATAATGTTTACAAAGCTGATTAAATAATCTGTCATTTAAAGAGTTGTTTCGGATTTTATTGACTGCTCTGATAACGTTGTCGATGTATAACGCAATGTACAGCAAGCACATCTGGAATTTTGTTTTTTAAGTACGCTATGAAACCTTTTTGACACCCCACCATAGCTGATGTCATAGCACCATCTGTAGCAGCTGATATAATATTCTTCAAGGGAATTCCTTTTTGATCACAAAACTTTTCCAGTGTTTTAAATATGATTTCTCCATTTGTGCCTGACTCTAAATTTCTAGCAATTAATACTTCTTGACATATTTTTTCATCTTTAACAAACCTACGTAAGACAGCAAGAATGCTTCATTCCTCCGATGGTGTGTGGTTTACCTGTTTGAGCACTGAACATAGAGATATTGTATGAAGCTCGAAGTCCGTCAACGTCTTGCTTAGCAGCCACCGGAAAAAGTTTTGATACACTTGGCTTAACATTATGCTTCTTTTCCAGGTCTTGAAAGTAGGACACATTTTTGTTCTTCAAAGAAGGCACAGAGGCAAAGATGGATTTGTCGAATTTTCTATGAATCCATATTTAATATATTCTGCACTATATTACCGTCTCTTCTTTTTTGCTTACGACATGGCTTTGCTTTTACAAATATGTAAATAAAGTGTTGAACTTAAATGCTTGTTTAAAGATGCGCGCGAAACCACTAATGAAAATATAAAAATTATTAGGAGCTTTTATATTGGATTTAAACACCAACAGGAATAATACAAACACGCACGAACTCGTTTAGACAATGAACTATCGATGAAGCATCCGGTTGCTACCGCATTTCTCCAATAGCGTTATTTAACAAAAACTTGTTACAACTTGATTGCGTACGGCGTACGCCCGTATATGCGTATGCGTGGCCGATAGCACTATCCTACGAAATCTATGTTAAGTATTTTTAGTTTACATACCATCATACAGGGCAGAAATATAAACTAATTATTCGATATTGAGTAGTAGGTAGGTTTTAATTTTAATAAATTTTAACATATATAGTACATATCTAAATGAAATTACATATCAAACATCGCCCCCCTAACTCACGCCAATGCCCCCCATTTTTTTCTGGGCCCCTTAGCGTTATCGCCCACTTTGAGAAAGACTGGGCTAAAGAAATAAATGAATGGGCCTATAAATTTTTAATAGCAATAAACGAAATAAAACTTGAATATCATTTTATTATCAAACGACGCGTACTAAACTATTGATATGAAATAGGGAACCTGTTGATGTAATTCTAAAGTTAGCCAAAAAAACAAGTTTCGATACGTCAATTTCATCGGGAGTTATCGTGACCACATACAAAATTAACATCCGGACGTTCACGTAAAAATTTTTTTAACCGTTTTTATCTAAGTAGCAATATAAAATGATTTTTTAGAAAATATTAGATGGATTTAATTAGTGTTTTCCTGATATACGGCTACTCATATTATCGTATAAGTGCAATATGGTTATGATAGAGGTATTTTAAGACCACATAATTGCATGACTTTGACTTGTCGAGAGTAATAAACTACTGACTTGTCGAGAGTAATAAACTACCTACCTAATAACCTCAGATCATAGAAACAACAGTTGTTTCTATGATCTGAGCTAATAACGCTTCGCTTCGCTTATTCTGCATCGGGTCGTGATAATCGCCCAGCACTTAATTCCTTATCGTCAGTGTGTTGCTGGCGATACGTTTTGCCAGCAACAAAGACGTATTAAAAAAGACTATTAAAAGTTTTTTTAACTAGGTACTTTTAAAAACGTCTTAGGCCAGCAACGCAAATTTCAACTGTTTGTTGCGGCGAAAATTTTAGAGCACGTAATTTTTAAACTTAGCACCTAAAAAGCCCCTAATTTTGGCTTTATCTCAATGCAATTTTGATTCTATTCTGATTTTCAGAACACCTGATTTTTGCATTTGCTTTGTTCTGAATTGACTTTATTTAATAGCGGCGCCTTGTCATTGTCTACACTTGCAGCACTTATTTAGCACTTAATTTCTTGTACTGTTATATTTATCCGCGCGATAACTTATCATTAATCTATGCGTATATCTAATAACGTCACTGCTTTCCTGGCGATAGGTACCTACGTTTTGCCAGCAAAGCAAATTTCAACCGTTCGTTTCGGTGAAAATTTTAAAGCACCTAATTTTTGACTTTTTCTTAATGCAAATTCCTGACTTTGTGTTGCTGGCGAGACACAACTGTTTAGTTCGTCACCGACTGCTGACGGGGTGGTGCAATTTTTAGTTGTGGAATTTTTAATTTATATCGCCTAGTGTTAGCATTAGGTACCATGTTTTATATGGATAAGAAATGAAAACGTTTAATTATTATTTTATATTAAGTACCTATAATAAAGCTCATCAATACTTTAAAATATGAGATAATACAATATATACCTAACAGGATACGGATAAATGAATTCTAAGGACGGAGAATGCGTAAAAGTAGGTAACTGCATGCATATAAATACTCTTACGGTTCACACTGTTTTATTTACCTATTGTATAGAAATGAATATTATCTTTGTTAACTTATATTTCCAGACCTCCTTCATATAATTTTGCCATAGTAGTCACACTTGGGGCCGCCTGGGGTTTGAGAGTCTGCAACCGCAGTTTTTTATTATTTTGAATTGTTATCAGGAAGATGACGCTGCTGCACGTCTTCTGTTTCAGTTTCCCTCTGTCGTTTCTTATGACACTCACGGGTCGATATGCGGTAGTCGATATTCTTACACCACCACTACGCGGGGTTTCCATAACTTTTTTACGTGGTAGAGTCACGCTGCAGTTATATTATGGTTGTAGCACTCGGCTCGACCGGAGTAGGACCACGTTCTCACAGAATACCGGCGTAAACTAGAATTATTCTATGAAAAAAATTTACCACCAGAGCGGCCTTTGGTATGGGGTGAAATATTTGACGGATCTCCTGGTTCCACTATTTAGATTAGAAACGGATAAACTAAACAACAGATTTTCCAAAAAGTACCAGAATTAAAAAAGGCAGAGGCACTATTGGGCCGTAGTGTGAGGCATAGAGAATACACTAATCAAGAAACGCGACTTATCCGAATCAGTATTCGAATTGTCGCTGTCACCGAGCGATACTGTTGTAATATGTCTATGTGTGTGGGAAATTATTAGTTTATTGTTATATTTGCAAGGTGCAAGTTTTGTTCTGCGAGAAATGTTTTTGTGTGCGCAGATTTCCCGCCACAAAAAAAAACAGACTGTTCTGTATCGTTGAAAAACGCTATGGTTACTCCTCTAGAAATAATTTGCCTCTTTTAAGGTCAGAGGGTACTAATAACCATTTCCTTAATTTTCTTTTTCCGGCCTAACCTTCGCAATGACTGAGCTGATTGCGATGAATCTTAATAACTAGCAATGCCCTCTAGGCTATATTTTTTCTGAAAAACATAGTTTTTTTTTTGAGAAATTTAAAACATAATTGGTTCTAGTAGATTATCTCTGAAACTATAAGAAATATAAAAAAATATTCGAACCAAACTTTTTGATTTACAATTTGAAACAAAAAGGTTTTTTTCGTTTTGTAATTGCAACTGAGACTAAGATTGTCTTCATACCAGTAAAATGGGTCAACGGTTCTCCACACTTACCATACGAAACACAGCTACATTTTACATTGGTATTCGATTGAGAAAAAAGGCACAACCAATAACCAAGCCATGTCCTTTGTATCATAATGAACTAATAAAATATAACACCTTAGATCTTATCGCTAAAGTTTTACTACTGGAACGGATGGGTAGACCTTGCCTTTATTTAATGTGCACACTTGTGGTTATCTTTGACACAGTTGGTAGCCTCCCATAGCAATCGAAAGTTTTAGGACTTCCTTAACATCATTGATAAAACACACAAGCTAACAGTGTTCAAATAAACAGTGAATACAGCAAATGCTAGAACGGATTTATTTTTAAAGATGAAAACATATAAAACATCTAAGCACACATTTTAGCTTAAAACATACATAAATATTAAATATCAATTTTATAAAATAGGATATTAAAAAGAACGAATCACTTTAAACAAATTTCATCTATACAATTGAATTACAAATTTTCTTAAAAATAGATATTAAATCTTCTTAACACAATTGGGCCAAAGCTCGGGCTTTTTTAGCAAAAAAAAAATTCTGACCTCATATTTTGTAACTAATGTCTATATAGTAAATATGCAGCTTTAAGATTAATTCTAAATTAACAAAAATATTTAGAAAACCCTTAGAAAGTAATAAAAATAATTTAAATAATAATAGTCACGAAATTGCAGTTAGGGTTTTCATTTTTGGAGATTGCCTTTTAAGATTTTGCTGATGGTTTAACTTAATGCTAGCCCTGGTTTTTTTTATAAAATAAGGGTGACAAACGAGCATACAGTCCACCTTATGGTAAGTGGTTGCTGTGGCCCATAGACATATACGTCTATCTTCGTTTGTGGTTTTCTGTGAGAGCGTGGTCCTTCCCCGGTCGGGCCGACCCATTTGTGCTACAACTATACTATTAATATGGCTGCAGCATGGGCTCTACCACGTAAATTAAGTATATATTAGTTAAGTATTATTTATTAAAATAACATGTAGTTCATGTTCTAAACAAATTATAGACGACAATTTCTCTAAAAGACAATATGTTTTATACTAAGTACCTAATAGAAAAAAATAGAAGTCTTTAACCTTATACTACCAAAATGTATATTTAGAAAAACTTCATCGCTTTTAATGTAATGTTATGTATTATGCAATAAAACCTTTAAATTCTCGTAAAATAAGTTAAATGCTAGCAACAGCTTTCTTTAACACAAGTCTTAAAGGTCCCGTATCCTACCCTATGACTAACGTTATCCTATTAGCTATTTGATCCGAACAAATCAGTACGAAATCCACAATGGAGCTAACACAGTAATATAAACATATAAAAGAGTGAATGTTTAGAACATGTTTACAGTTGACATTTTATTGAGGTCTGAAATAATTGACATACTAAAAAGGCTCTAGAATAACACTTACAAAGCATTTACAATGTGGTCTGTGCTTTGACTAACGTGTTAGATACAAAACTACAATTTTGAATATTATTAATTTGAGTTAAATAAGAAAATAGTGACAAGAGTAGCTTGGAGCGGTTCCAAAATAACCCTTCCCCCTCCCCCTATTTATAGTCATGTAAAATATATAAAAAATTACATGCTATATTACAAGTCCGACATTGAAATATTCTAAGTAAATCACACATTTCTATAACTCGAAAACAAATCTGAATTTTCTGTTGGCTTTATAGTTTACTGGTTTTTCCACGCGAGCCTGATTAAGGGTAGTATTACGTAACATAATTTTACAGTGCTGAAATTTTAAAGAAACAGAAAATATATTGACAGCGAAGCGATTTAGACAGATGCTAATACTCCTCAGGTCCTGACGTATTGTTCACTATATTTAATGAGAGGACAACTCTCCCCAATTTCTTCTCTGAAAAGGCACGCATTTCTACACGGCCTCCAATTCATCTGGAAAACGACCGCAGCGGCGGATATAGTACATATGAGTAATATATTCTTAATAGGTACAGAGAGCCTAATATGTGGAATACATTTTCATGAAAGATATAACTACATATAAATCACTAATATATACAAAATTTATAAAGAATATAATGTCACATTTAACACTGACGCTGTCTTGAGATTACGTTTTATGTTGGAAAATTGGTCCTGGACTTTTATGTCCTTACAAAAATGGTAAAGTAGCCAAGTTTCTCGGTAGTCTACGGTATTATATTGTAAAAATTAGTTAACTATAATATTCTTTATAATTTCGTGAAAGCGTGCGGCGCCACCTCAATACGTGACAGGCGCAATATTACGCACGCGACGTTGCCACTCCGTCCATTGTAAATAAAATGAAATCACTTTCACTTATCATTGTAAATATAGTGAATAGATTTAAAAAAAAACAACATAAAAATTGTTGACATTCCTAGGCCTTTTTAAGTATGAATGAATTTTTGAAGCGACTGTAACCTAATGGCAGGTTGCGGACCGCGAACTCAAAGGTTCGAATCCGACATTCGACTAGGTACTGTCGTGAGCCACTTCTAACACAAGCATGTTAAGCTTACCAGGAGTGGTTATAGGGAATATTAGTAATGTGAATACCATTGCTAGTATTTAAAAAAAAACAAAACGAGGAATATTTAATCACTATTTCGTTGCTTATAAGTTTTTTTTTATTATCGTGCGATTACTAATTAAATTATCATCATTATCATTACAATCCTTCACAAATGTAATGTGATAGAATAGAAGAATAACTTCACACGGTCCTTAACCACATGCATCCATCGACTTCTTGTATGTTTTACCAGGTCGTCACTCCATCTAGTTGCTGTCCGAAACTTTTACCGGACCGAGACCACCTCTCGATAACCTTCCTTCCCCATCGGTTTTTGGATTTTTTCTAGTTATATGACCGGCCCATTACCACTTTAGCTTGCTAATCTGTTGGGCAATATTGGTTGCTCTGTTTCTACTGGGCATTTTGGATTCTATCACGCAGAAAAAACCCAAGCGAAACAGGGTTATTTTTCAAAGAGTAGCCTAATTTTAAAAGTTCAAATATATAAATAATTATATACCGTTATTGCAGTATTTCAAAATACGGTTAATAAAGCTTTGTTTGAAATTATCCCAAATTGAATGTGATTAATGGGCAACAACGTTTTTGCCTACCGATCGTCTCGAATGTGTGCGTGCGCAGTAAAATCATTTAAATAATGCATTACCACGGATTTTGAATTTAAAAGATAAAATGGACAGAATGTTTGAGATTTTTTTAAATTAATTTATCTTAACCATTTGCCTATATTACTTATTCCAAACCTTCTCTGCAAATTTGGCCGGTTGTTGTAAAATAAACGTGTTGATTGTTCTACGGAGAGCTGTTTTTAATGATTATTGGACACCTCACAAAACACATTATTAAGAATCTATATTCAATAGATCAGAATGTTGAATATAAATATCAAATCGGTTCAATATCATTTGACTAATACAGTCTCTAGTCTATACAAAGTACCAACATTACATAGCAACACCAACTCGGTAGAGGGAGATGACACACAGGGGTTGGTCTGGTAGTAAATAATACAAACAAGTAAACTAGCGTACAATAAACGACAGTATGTAGTACATTTTATATGTATATCTAATATATAAAAATTAATTTTTGTTTGTTCGTATTTTATGCGCTGCCATACCGTTCATCAGTAAAACTTGTTCAGTAAAACTTTGTCAACTTATTGCTTGCACTCATGCAAAGGTTTAAGGCATAGTACAATTAGCTTACAGTAAGTGGCGCGCGTGTCGTACGGACAAATTTATTTGAAAGTTATTTATCATTCAATTTCAACGAATGTATTATCATCATTCCTAATTAAACAATATAACTATTCCAAATTTAAAACGATATTTCCACAATTTATCTTATGCAGCAGCAACGCGCCGAGTACTAGCTAGTTTCAAATAATATTTCTCTAAAATTTCGGGATTGCAAAAGTATCAGCCTTGTAAATTAATGTTACGAAATACTACCCTTACTGAAAACTTTAGGATTACCTAGGAAGTATTAGTACCCTTGAGGATCACTTGGGATTTTTTTCTATACATAAAAATTCTATACACAAAAACATTTTCATATTTCAATAGCCCGGCTATTAAAAGCATGTTAGTTTTTATATTATTATACGATGGAGTGTAATATTGCGTGCAACTGCACCAGCCTCATTGTATTGTTTTTATTTTACTAATATTAAATTAAAAATAAACAAAATTATAGATTTTTATCTAACATTAGTCAAAGCGGCGCCCAGTACTCTGGCCAAAATATTGAAATTATAGCAAAAATATACCTTTAATGTTTGGAACACATAGAAATAGCAATATTATTTGACACTGTAGAGCAGTTTTGATTAATAAATATTACACAACTGAGCAAAAACATCGACTTCAAGCTATAGGGTATCTATTGTTAATAGTATCTACTGAAATGTCATGATATTTATCAAATTTGTTAATTAGTACCTATAGACAATAATTCTAGAAACCAGTCCTATGTTTTAGTAACGGCTATCCATCGACTATATTTAGAACTTGAGAGACTTGGCAAACAGAGCAACAGTTGCCTGCGTTTTATCCCCATTGAATCTTCTCAGCTCCACAATAGCCTAAAAATAAAAATGTTTCCACTTAATAAGACAAGTTTTAAATATCCCTGTGTTACATCTTTTGAGTAAAGTTACAGCTCTTACCCACAAGTGAGTACAAACATTCATCCTCTCAGTTTTTACAGCGTTATGGATTAGTTTTATAATTTCTTTTTAATAGAAGAGTGACAAACAAAACAGTCCACCCGATGGTAAGTGGATGCTGCGGTCCATAATATCTACATTTATCCTCGATTAGAAATCAAAATGCAGATGCGTTGTACACCCCTGTGGACTAAGTGCGTGGTCGCGGGCGTTACATGTCCTCCAAATATATATTTCTCGGGCCACCGACGAGCACTTGGTAATTCAACACTTAAAATCGCTCCTGTACATCATCATTACAGTCCTTCACAAGTGCACCGTTCAACATAGGCCTAATTTAACGAAAGCCACCAAGCACGGTCCTGAGACACCTGCATCGCTTTACAGATCGTCACTCCTATATAGTTGAGGCTGCACTTCGCTTACCGGTAGAAGGCTGCCACTCGAGAACCTTCATCTACCTATTGCCACTTCAGCTTACTGATACAGTTGGGCTATAATCAATATAGCTAATCTGCAAACATAACCCTATCCATTGACCCATGAGCTTCCTCATACAACCAGCAGTAACTAGGCCGGTATTCAATGACAATATCGAGTTCAATCTCAAACTCCAAAATGGCAAAATTTGTGGAGCATTGTATGGACTAGACTCAAATTTTGATATTGAGGAATTTTTGTCCAAATTCGTTAGACTTACCTCATAATATGCATGATAATATCGTCTTGGTAAATAGGAATAGTAATTACTTACTTGTTCTCTGGTAAATCCAAGAGCAACAATCTCTTCAACTTCTGATTCGCCGAATGAGTCAGTTGGAAGAATTGTTAAACTGGGATCTCCAAATCCTGAAGTTTGTGTAAAATTATTGTTTTAGTGAATTTAATTGATATTCAAAAAAATTAAGCTCTTTCAGCACCAACATAAGAACAGTTCTACAATATTTTATTTTAGAAACATGAAAAAATTTGTGTTGGTACAAAAACATGTTTTAAATTCGGTAGATAATATTTTCTTAATTGTGTCGATATTAAAAAACCCATTGCCCCATTGTATATTTTTGTGAGTATCAAAATAATTGAGAGAGAGAGAGAGATAGAAAGAGAGAGAGAGAGAGAGAGAAAGAGAGAGAGAGAGAGATATTTCAGTTATGCATATTACATTTTTGCCTATAAATAATTATTCATTGTGAATATCACGGAGCAAATACAAAGAGGAGATGGCCAAGCAACTGTGCACTGTGATTCTAACTAGGTCCTGACGTCATCACAGTGGGCGTGGCTTTAGTTAGTATACTGTCAGCGTTCGTCCTGTGCGCTTGTGCAGAAAATCGCAAATCAGTGTATTTTCGTAGTATTAAGAAGAAAAGGATGAAATGTTGTGTTTTGTCGTGTAAAAACTACTCAGATAGACGCTCTGATGCTATGGATGGCATCATATTTCATTTGTAAGTAACTTTATACCTAATTTTTAAAATAGTTCTAGAGAAATCTCTGCGGCGGCTTTCAAATATAATTAAATATATTCAACACTAGATGGCCACACTTTGTGTCATGGGAACTAAAAATATAAAAGTACGTAGAGCTCAGTACTGGTAAAATAATCATACGAAGGTGCTGAAATTTGTTTTGAAAGAATTTTTAATCGCCCAAATATTATGTTTAAAGTTTTATAATAATTTTGTGAACAGGCCGCCATCTGTCGTCAAGGTAGCTAAACTACATTGCAACCGATATTGAACGATGCGACTAGTTTTACCATTTATCGGTAGATGGAAAACAGTTAAGTGGGCGGGCCTTAACACTCCCCCACCCCGCAAATTGTCCCGCATTGTTACATAGTGAAACCTAATTACAATACCTCCTCTTTGTATTTGCTCCGTGGTGAACATTAATTCAATTTTTTGATTCAATTAGGCTAATAAAACTTATTGTGTCTAACATATTATAAAAGTATAACACGTCATTATGACCAACGAAATGTTTATATGTTTAAAAATGTCACAAGATCTTACCAAGTCTCTGGTTAACAGACTGGCTCATGCTTGAAGAGGTTTGAGGAATTGTATTGGGCCTCGATGGTTGGCTTCGAGCAGCATCTGCTAATAACAATAGATATTATAGTTAGAAAGCGATAAAATATACAAAAAAAATCTAATAACCCTAATACTGCTATTAGTGTAACAATTACTAGTATTGCTAGATGGGCTCCAATACAACTGACTCAAATAAAAACAAAAATGTTGACAATTACAAAATAGTGAATATTACTTGTACTCATAAATAGTGAATGCTAGACTATGATTTTACATATTATGTTGATTTGGGAGACATTACCAATGGCACAACAGAAAGTAATATGTTATTTTGTGTTACCTAATAATAGAATCCAAAACAAAGGCTTTATGATTATTGGTCTTCTTTGATGATCTTAAAACAATTACTTCAACTTTATAAAATTATGTATTTTTAATTATAACTGAAATTAATATTTTTTTTAATTTATTAAAGCTTTTGAAGTATACACTGAGAAAAAATTACTGCACTGAGTAAAAAATAAAGAGAAATAAAAAGAGGAATGTTTTGCAATTTTTATTATTTTTTATTATTAAAAGGGACATTTTATTACTGTTGTTAAAATACATTAATATTGTAGCACCATATAAAAAACTTTCCACAATTTACAGTAATATGACTTAATTAAATGTTAAATTAATTCAAACTTAAACAAGTGAAAACGCTTTCTACCTATTCTTACCTATTTCAGAAAATGTTAAAAGTGAATCTTTCAAGTAATACAAGAAGTAGAATCAGTATCATCAGAATATTGTTACATTTTCAATTACAATTATAATTAATCAAGCTGTGAAATACTAAATGTATGCTGCAATTATATTTGAAAATGTAAGAAAAAATCAGGTAAAGAGTAACATTCACAGTAAGATATTACAAAAAAATTATTTCTTTTTTCCACGCCCACCTTGCTTTGACTTCTCGAGAGCTTCTTTCATTTGTCGTTCTTCATGATCTCGCACGGACTGATTTACTATCTCGTCTTCAGAATAACCTGACAACCGGGCACATTCTGGCAGTTCAGATTCGGGCAAAAATGGAGTCTCCGTACCAGTAGTTCCAATATGCAACACATTCCGTTTCAAGTCTATATTGCACTGTTTATGAGACAAATATAAATAAATAGGGTAGCTACAGAATTTTGTTTATTTTATACTCCAAGCTTCGTTAACAAATAAATAGTATAAACACAATCTAAAGGGGATGCTCACTTGTTTTATTTCAACCATAATAAACCAGTCATTTCAATAAAAGTAGTTATATGTGCAAGGCATTACATTTTATACAAGTACCGATATAGTGGACTTGTGGTCGTGTGTGTGGTCGAATTTAAGCTTGGTTTATAGATGCAGTGTCAATTACAGGCATAATTGTAATATATCCAGATCCAATCTCCAAGAAGAAATATACTAAAGAATTCTCTTATAACTTTATGAAAATGTATTCAAGAAATTCAAATTAAACTAAAATTAAGATAAAATTATAATAAAATTAACAAACCTGATGTCTTTTTAACATGTCCAAACCAAGGAGCATATCCATTGGTTGTTCTTCAAGTACTGAGAATGAAGTTGTAAGGAAATCCTTTTCAATTCGCATCTGGACCATATGAATTCTACCAATGATCCGCTGTACACCAACACCTTTAGCTATACCAGCCCATCTGTACATTTATGATGTCATTACAAAGATGACAAGTATTTAATGAACATTTTTTCATACTTATGTTGTGTTCATAATATTAAAATAAATGCAATTTATTTGAGACAGACAATACAAATAAAACTTATCTCAATAGCAATAAGAATATTTTTTTAAATATATAGAAAATCATTTATTTTAACCTGGTATCCACAAGTCTCATTATGTTACATCTCTCAGCACATGCTGCTGACATTATAGTAGTTTGAGCACCTGAGTCTATAAATGCCTTAACAGGAAATCTGGAATTAGAAAATTTATAACAGAGGAGGCTTTACAACATTTTTGGCCATTGCCCATTCGCAGGATGGCGGCAAGGGATTTTTCACAAAGTAATGTAAGCACACACTCATACACAATTATTCTGTTGTATTCTTAGGCATCTGCAGTGTATTTGGGTATGCAGTGGAGTCCTTAGCATGCCATATCACACAGCCAAGACATTGTGCTCACGCCAAGCTGCCACTTTTCAGAACAATTGTAAAATTGCAAGTTAGTAAACCATTTGTATTTGTGTAATTAAAATGTTAAAAATGGACATACATTCAACAAAAAAGAAGTTTGATTGAATGCTCCCACGTTATTGGCATACCTAATGTTGCCTCGGCATCCCGAAGGCTCCCAAAGCAGTGTGAGGACTGGCAAGGCATTCCAGAGGCTTCCGACAGTGCATCCATAAACTTACCACAGCCTTTATAGCTTTGATAGTTATTATGAAAACTATTATTATTCTTTTTCAAAAAACAAAAACAGGCACAAACCTAAGCAAAGAACCAATTTTGTTTTTACTGTTAGATTGTTTGATAATTTTAGGTAGTTTTAAACTCAGAAAGAACTTTGTAAATTAACTAGCATAAAATCTCAAATTGACAATACATGTGCTCTTCGAAGTTGATCTTGATGTTCACATATGAAGATTTGAGATTTCTCAACATTTGAAACACCAGAAAACGATCATGTGGTCTAGTACCTGGCTTTCTTCCAGAACTAGGTTGTATCTTGATGGAATTGAGCTGGCAGGTATTTTGGGCTGTCGACGTCTGACATGCCTCTGAGCCATGAAGCATTGGCTGCAACCTACCTCAAGCAGCCAATATTTTTAAATTATCTAGTATATGTGATAAATTATTTTTTTTTATAATTTTCAAGATCACTAAACAGCAATAACAATACTTTAAAATGTCAAAGAAATGAGATAGCTCAATAATAACTTCAATTAAACATTTTAAAACCCCCAAAATCATAGCTAAGAATACTCTCGATCGAGTCACCTTTGAAAAAAGAACTAAATCTAAAACGGTTCATCTGTTTGGGACTATGACGCCACAGGCAGAGACAAATACACGGACACACATATACACACATACACATGTCAAAAATTGACACCCCTTTTTATCTTTTAAAAATGGACAAAGTTATTTAGAGTTGATATTAACTTTTTAGAATTTATGCTACTAAATGTAGTCAAAACTTATTTCCTTTAAAAACATGCCTTGGACAAATATTTGAATTTGGAATGTACTTTTTCGAACACGACGGCACTTTTATAACCCGCCAGTAACATGTTCAAAAGATTAAATCTTTTTTCGTATTGCATTTTTTTTAAGCAGGAAAAAGTCAAAACTGCCTGTTTTTTGCATATGAGTGTATAATGTTACAATATTATTACAATTTGTAAACCCCTTACTATGCCATCCCAGAAGTAGGCGCCGAGCTTTAGACTTAATGACTTTAAAAAAAAGTTATTTTAAAAAAGGAATATTTAAGAAAACAAACCCATTAACATGACAGTTGATATACAACATAACAACTGTTCCAAATGTCTCTGGATTGTATTCCATAGCAGCTTCCATATTTGCCTCAATATTCTTTTGTCTAATTTCTTCTGCAATCATTCTTTGTGCTTCTGTGTCAAATGGATCTGAATTCATCATCCTGACGGACAAATACTTTGTTATCATAATGATGTAAACGGAATGCTTATATAATGTGTAATAAATGATTATTTCCCAAAACTCTGTGTTACATAATTATTTAAATGGAGAAATTCTTAATAAAATGTTAAACCAACTCCAAATAAGCACATTATCAATTATTCCACAGTATTCTTTTTTGTATCTTAACCTCCGTTAACCTATTTAAATGATTTTACCACATTTTTACTAACTTGCTTTCGTATATTTGTTAGGGTCAAATTTAGTAATTGATTTTAAGCTAACTTGCCGATGAACTAGGGACTTGAAATTTTGAACCTAGCTCAGAATCAGATTGTACTGTAAAATTTAAAAAATGGTATATTAAAAATACTTATGTATTTTTATTTTCTTTAATATACATTTTCAACCAGATCATGTGATGATTGAAGTTGGTTTTTCTTTTTTTTTAAGTAATAAAATTATTCTTTACCTTATTCTCTGTTGTTGGCGTTCAGTCCTAGCTGAAATTTGTTCTCGAAGCACAGATGCAAAAGTATCTATGGAAAACAGTTTTGTATAAAACTAATTATTAATGGAAACTTTAGTAGGTGGGAAAATTTGTATAATTATTTAATAATAATTCATGTGGTATTTTAGACTAAATATTAAAGCATGCAAGTGCTTGAGAAAGACACATTTGAACTGATAAATAATAATGAAACAAGATGGTTCACAATTTTTATTTACATTATGCTAAGGTTTGCATTTAGCAGTACGAAAATAAATATTGTTTAATTTTTATTTAAGAGAAATGCAGTTTCTATGCTTACCAAGGTTACCACTTAACAATGCATCAGCTAATCTTGGATTATTTTGTTTGAGCAGAGCAAGTTGATCAGGATTGGCCAAAAACATTTCCCTAATAAGACGAGGGTCTTCCTCCACAGATGGATTTCTTGCAGCCATTGAAGTACTTGCTGCAGCTGGTGGAACTTGGATACTGCTGAAGTCAAGATTAGCCAAACCTGTGGGCAAGGCTGAAACCAAGTTTTATTTTGAATTTATAACAAAAATTGTAATAATAACAAAAAATTTTGACAGCAACAAAATGTCACTTATATTTTTAAATTTTGTATCTGTTTATGTACTTGTGTTATTTATTGATGCATGTCGCCCGTGAATGACGTAAAATGAAAGTCAATCATGACAATGCAATATTGTGAATGTTAAGTGAAAACAATACAAACAAAGGCACCTTGACTAGAATCATTAACGTTGAGATTAGAGGCAGATTGCAGCATATGAAGCAAAACAATGACGTCTCCATCATGTACGCCGTGTTCTTTGAGAGATTTCTTGTCGTCTAAAAGCGGTTTGCCATTGTAATTCAATATGATATCCTTTGCCGGGAAACCAGATTCTATTTCACAAAAAGCTTTGAAATTCTCCAATTCCAAGTCTTCAGAAACATCAAGGACGAAAATTTCGTCGTTGAGCGTAGTAACAGTAACTTTCATAGTGAAATTTTAATAAGATAATATTTAAAACTGATAGGTAGCAACTGCTTTGTTATTTATAATGTAAGAATGACTGTCCAAAACATTTTAGAGGACGCGCACGTTTTAAAACACAAAGTAGTCTTCGCTTCAGCGATAACACAAAACAAGCACAAATAAAAGTTTTGGAACCGTTTCTTTCCCGTCTTTCCGTAAATTTACATTAGCGAATAAGCGAAAAAGAAATAATCTATACTCTCTTTCTGACGTGACGAGTGAGGGGAGTGAGGCAAACTTCGCTAAAAGGTGACTGGCTAGTGCTGCCTACTACAAAACCGAAAATACCCAAAGGCAATGTTTGAAATACCCGATTTCAACAGAACTCGTAAGTTTACTGCTTTTAAATTAAAATAAAAAATAAAAAATCAAACTCATACATTCACTTAATTATGATCATTAAAAGTTAATTAATAGTTTGTAAAATACTTAAATGGCAAGTGCAGCCCATGAACACCTGCAAACGACTTTAAGCAAAGAAGATAAGAAGAACCTGTAGATGTGTTTTCACCTCTGAGGCTGAAACAGAGAGCCTATCATTATACTTGCACGAATTGTTGCTCCTGCGTTATTATTCAAATAGAAGGTTGAAGTGGAATTTGATAAATAAAACAGGTGCAAATTTCTGCAAATGTGAACATTAGTAGATTCTATATTACATTGTCATTTAATAAATTGAGTGCAAAGACCGGAGATAAGTAACCATAGCGTTTTTCTCCAATACACAAATATCTGTTATTTTTAGTGGGGAGAAATCTGCACACATGAAAACAATTCTCGCAGAATGAAACTCGCGCATAACAGAAATATAACCATAAACAAAAAAATTCACACACGCATATACACATTATAACAATATCGCTCGGTAACAACGACAACTCACATACAGACTGGGATCGGTCGCTCGACTTATTTGCATATTAAAGTAGAGTAAGCGGCCTGTGTTGGTAAGTAAATCTGAAACAACATGACCATAATTATTGTAATTTTTAAGCTAAATAGAAATAAATAACAATAATGTGCTTAAAATTACTAATAAATGAAAGGAATTTTGGCGTAACAGATCTCTTTTTGCAGAAAATAACTGGATATATATATGGACATATTTGATTTAATAAAAAACATTAATTTATTGTAAAGGACATCGATTTAGCCGCTTAACTAGATTTAGACTAGTGAGCTGTATGGCTGCAACTAGTTTTATATAAGTATTCGGAATTTGTATGGGACATCGATTTAGCCGCTTAACTAGATTTAGACTAGTGAGATGTACGGCTGCAACTAGTTTTATTGTACGCATAGGACCACGTGTCCTTATACTTTGACATAGGGAAACGCCTTATGGCTATACCCTCCGATTTGCCGGTGGCCCGTGTTGATGATATGGCAAAAATCAAAATGATTTAATAAAAAACATTAACTTATTGTAATTATGATTTCAATGGTGATATAAAATGCAATTTTTTTAACGTCTTGTGATATTTTAGATTATTGTCATCAAATGTCCGCAGAGGTGATGATGATAAAATCTCCCAAAAACTTTACAATGTGCATCAGCATATTATAAAGTTTTTTGAAAGAACTTCAGACAAGGCTGTATGAGCATAGATCGCATTGCCTTTACAGCCAATAAAAATTGTCTATTTATCTATGGAATAGAGAAAAGAAAACTCAAGGAAAACCTTTGTTATTAATTTTCTAATATAAATTATTTTATTCAATTAGTGCGAAGTAGTCGGTGGTGTTTTGTGTACCCTAAATTAATATGATCTTTTACCATATATTAATACATCAGTGAAATTGAGTAGTACTGTGTATTAAGTATGGATTCTTTTCTTCACAACTAGGAAATTTAGTGTTCTATGCTTCACAATGTGAGATTGCTACTACATTGACATACAATGGTGAGTGTTCAATGCTCTAAAGCAACGTTATTTATAATTTCATAAAATCACAGACATTTTTGGTTTACTGTGAGAAAATCTTGCTAGTTTTTTATATGGTGAAGCACTAGTGAAAGTAATTTAGAGCTAAAACAGGTTGTTGCTTTCAAGTACCAGCAACCGAATTATCACTGGATTTTTTTATATTGCGTTTTAAAGACTATTTCCATATTTATTCTCCATAAGATTATCTATACTTGACAAATGCATTCAAGTATGTTTTCAGATAAGATATCAGATATAACAACTTAAATTAATATCCATAGAAATGTACTATTTGTGTCTTGAATATATATTTTAAAATTGCATGTTGGTGGACTTCACATTTGAAAATTATTTTATTTCTCTGACATCCAGATTTCTTTGTTCACTGCCGAACATGTAGTAAAGGAGCACTTAAAATTGCAATTAACGTTTTTATTGATGCTTTTAGGGAATGTAAATTTGATAACCGAACAATTCATTTTTTCTTATATATATGATTATTGTATGATTTATTTAATTTTATTCATCTGATATATTTTTAATTTAAAAATAAATACAATCAAAAATATTTTTAATAATTTAAGACAATTGAATAAAACGGAGTAGAAGTATATTTTTTTATATACTCTGATACTTATTTGCGTATTTGCATCAAATAAAACATTACACCAATCTTGGAATATCATTGACAGTAGGTTAAGGTGCTGCTGTGGTGGCCCTTGGGTCACCATAAAGCCCCTGATAAAGCCCCAATGATATAAAATATAATATTGAAAAAATTAAACTTATTAATTTTAATCGTTATCAAAGGATTTTTTTTTTATTAATACAATTACTGTATGCATAATAATTTTTTAGTCATACGATTATTGTATGATTAGCAACAACCATAGTTATCAGTGCTTTGAATTGTTATGAAAAGTAATACCTTCTAAATTTACCTGTATAGTGAGAGTTGTGTTATTGTTTCAGAATTGTGTGTGAGAAGTGAATTAAGTGGATCAGGATTCAAAATGTCATCAGTAGGACAGTTAGTGCCACAGGTGACGAAAGGCCCGCCTAACATGACAATCAAATTTACTGGTCCCCACATTGAGGGATCATTCTGCACATCAATTGACTATAATTATGACCCTATTATCAGTGTTATCAGTGCAATGTATATTATTTTTGGAATTGTATACACTCTGTTTGGTAAGATCTTTGATTGTTATTATCATTTTTGACATATTTTAATTCAAAAATAATTTGTAAATTATACTATTTTTATTCGGCATTATTGAAAATTCAATAAAAATACTGTGTACTAGTATTCTAATACATTAGAACTTGTTTGTTAAAATTACAGGGGTTCATGGGTATTTTATTATTTTTCCAGGTTATAGGTGCTTTAAAGCAAGTATGTTTTTAACAGGTTTTACATTTGGCTCTGCTATTGTATACCTCATATGCTTACAAGAATATCTTATGCCTCCATATGGGAATGTTGGTATGTAATTTGATTGATGGTCTGATATCGTTTAATTTGATATCATCTCAAAGATAAAACTAATGATTGTGTTGTTTATAGGTGTAGCATTATGTGCAGGTCTACTCTTTGGACTCATCACAATGCTGATCCAGTATGTAGGCTTGTTTATGACTGGATTTCACACTGGACTTCTGTTAGCCATAGCTGGTTTGGCAATATATGATCATTTTCTAGATAGCCGACCTGTATCAGTAAGTATAACTATATAAATTTTTAATCCTTAAATAATTTTTAATGTTATAAAAGCATACTACATAGATTAATACTATTAAGATAAGTTATATTTCTGTTAATGACTCTAAACTCAAAGTGCTTCTGCTGAGACCAGTTTAAAACAATAATTATATGATGAACATCAATTTTTTTTTACTTTTGTAGATTTGTATTAGTTACATATACAGGCTACTGTCGTTTAATACATGAATAGTCAGTTACAACCTATTTTTCCACAAATGCAAACAACTTTGATTAAAATACTTCCATGCATATTCGTTAAGTCTTATTTTACATTGGCTTAGCTTAGCTTATATTTTTTAAGTAATAATTATGTTGCACAAGTATTACGTGTGGTTGAATTTCGACCATTTAATTGGTCCAAGAATTTTATATACAAAAATTTAGTATGTTCATTTTTTTATCTGCCTTAACAGCCATACATACTTATATATGACTTTTTTTTCTGTGCATCAATGGTTTTATTTTCAAACTTTATGTTTCATTTGCCTCCGTTTAGATTAAAGTACAATCTTTTGATTTTGTATTTATTATTTATTTATCTATTCATGACTTCATTTAATAAATATATAATTATCATAAAAGAAATTGTTCACAGTAAAATCTAGTTATTGACTATTAAATAAATTAATAGCTAAATTATTAAAACAATTACTTAAGGTGAAAGCTCCACGGTAGCCTGCTAAATTCAAATTTGCTTAAGTTTTTTTGCAATTTGCAGGTGAGTGTCAGGTTGTATGTTTAACAAAACATGATTCGTGACTGTAACGAGTATGTATTTACAAAATTATAATCATTATAATCATCAATACAACCCTCTAAGTTCGTATAATCCCATTGTATGGTTATTTCAGGAAAAACTTATTCAAAGGGGTTATATGAACTCAGAGGGTTGTATTGGTGGTTTTAATGATAATAATTTTGTCAACACATAGTCATTATGGTCGTGATCATATTTTGTTAAACATACAACCTGACCCTGACCTACAAATTCCAAAAAAACGTAAGAAAATTTGATTTTTGCGGGCCATCCTGGCTCTTTCATCTTAAATCTATATTTTAACATATTTATTTAACTATTCAGTTTATCTCAATTTGAAATTGAGTGCCCAAATTATTTTCAGCGCCAAATTATAGTAAAATATTTGATCAAATACTTAGATTCTCAAATAAATTTAATTTAATGCTTAAAGTATTTTAGGCAAAGGAAAATAGTTTTTAAAATTAATGTATTTTATGTATAAAAATTATAAAATAGAATAAAGGTTATATTATTACCACTTAATGCCTGGATTGATGATGCTGATTAGTTATAAAAATAATAGAATTTTATGTATAAAAGTGATAAAATAGAATGAAGGTTATATTATTATCATTTGATGCATTCCTATGTTCAGCAGTTTTTACGTACTTTGTCAGTATGCTATTATTGTGATGCACACGCAGTAAGAAGGGGTTGGCTTTACTGGAGAATACCATGGTCACATAGAATACTAGTATGAAATAACAGTATAACTTTGCATTTGGTGAGATAATCAAATAGAAGCTCCTTTTTACTGGTTGCGAAGCATTCCATCTTAGTTCCCAGAGCACTAAGATGATATAATATCTTATAGATTAATACTAGAATACCAGCGTAAAATAGCAGCTTAACGCGGCTGTGTTTTGTATGGTGAGTGTAGAGAACCAGAGACCCTTTTTATGGGAAATGAGACTTTCCATCTTAGTCCTCACGGGTGACAACGCATCTGCATTTTGATTTGTAATAGAGGATAGATGTAGATGTCTATGGGTCGCAGCAACCACTTATCATCAGGTAGACTGTGCTCGTTTGTTACACTTGTCCGATAAAAAAAAGATTTCAGTTATACTAGTACTATCCATACAACTTAAAGTAGATAACAACATTGGCTGTACTATTGTTTAATTCAAAAATGGGTAACTAAGTAGTTAGGTTAGACATACAAAAGAAAAGAGCCCTACACTTATATCAGAAACCCTTAGCTATTGGAAAAAGAAAACTGTGAGACTATCGTTATTTAGTCAATTGCAATATTGAGAGGTGATTTAACATGATAGTTTCATATTTATTGTTTGTAAGAAATCACCAGTTCAAGTTGCATAGTCAATGATATCGGAGATTATTGAATGTTATTAAATCAATAGAATGATTGAGAATAACACGCTCATGCAGATTTAACAATATAATAGAGGCCTCAATTGCATCGCTCTGCGTGCGCTAAATTGCCAATCTTCTCGACATATATATTTGTATTATAATTTGTTAGTATTTGGCGCCTGTTATACAGCATAAACATTTTATTAATATTGTTAGAATACAGTATTTCACTAATATGATTACTAACATTAGTAGTAGTGATCGTGTAGTGACGGTAAGAATATTCACTACCCTATTTGTTCCGTGGGTGTCGTAAGAGGAGACAGAGTGACACAAACTAGGAGATCGACAGCAGCATCTTTTTGTTAAAAAGTCTAAATAATAAAACTTCTGACTAACTATAGTAACTTAGTACTAGTAACTATGACAAATATTCCATCTATGGGTCAAACCATGGGAGGCCTATGTCAGCAGTGGACTTTGATGGGCTCAGATGATGGTCGTCTTCAGGATCTAAATGCATGGATAATAATCTATTTATGTACAGTACCATAAGTTTGATGTGAAATTTTAATTTGAAATATGCAAATAAGTAATAAAAAAGTAATTTGGCAATATAAAAAATAATATTTTATACCACTTAGTTTTAAAACAAATTTGTAGTGGTGGCTTAGCGACTAAAATAATTTGCGAAATAGCTAATTCTTTAGAATTATTAAAATAATAGTTGAAAGCGTTTTTATTAATATTTTACTTATTTTGATATGTACTATGCGTTTCATGTCTATTCATTGTAATATTATCATCAGCCTGGCAGAATGCATATATAGGTCCATACACAACTGCTATTTAATCCCACACTTCATTATGTCTTAGAAAACTTAAAAGATTTTATGGTAATATATCTAGAAGAGCTAAGTTAAGTTAAGGTTGAGTTAAGGCGCGGTATTTACATATAAATTATTTTCTATTGTATTAAATTAATTTATTAAGTCAATGGTGGTAGTCCAAGCATTACATGTCACAGTACCTACACTCTGGCTCAATACCCGCCGGCACCATTTTGAGTTTCCATTTTGAGTGCTGATTTACCACACGCTTGGCGGTGAATAAAAACGTGAGGGAATAAAATATTTGAAGATACGTGAAGTCTGACGAAACGCACTGAAGCAGTACGGCGAACTAATTACTCAATAATCCTCTCAGAGAATAAAGGAGACCTACGTCCAGCCGTGGAACGTACTCGTATGTAGGTTGTAACTATAACTCAACATGTATATAATATGTATTTTATGAATTTGCTTAGCGATAACTCGTCTTTACGTACGTAATTTTTTATTTTATGAATCATATAATCAAAGTGCTATTTGTCATTACCTATGTTTGAGCGAAAATTTAAGCGTCCTAATTTTTATTTTATGTAGTAATTGTAAATTCAATACTTATATATGAAAAGCAGAATATTTTATATAACATCTTGTTCCATAAATGCAGTCCAATAGTGCAAAATTCCATCCTCATTTTTGAGTAGCATAGTAAGATTAAACAAAATTATCGACGAAAAGTCGAAAAACGCAGTTTCGGAGACCCACAGAACTTTACAATTTATTCACAACTGAAGACAATTTAAGCCGAACTGAACGCTTATTGAGAAAAGTGTCATACTTTATCTCCTCGTTAATCCAACTTTCACTTGCTTGCTTGCGTGCTGAGCTATGGCGCCTTAGATGTAACAATAATTTAAAAATGCAATAATTATTGATGCTTGCAAGCAATGGGGATATACATTAACATATAAAATGCGAACCTGAAGGAAAACTGCTGTAACGGGTACGAGGCATCTATTGTTGTTTTGAATAAGTAACTGTGTTATATTATTTTAATACAATTTTTGGTATGCTCACTTTTGTGTCCACTAATATTTTAAATGAAGTACGATAAAAACTAATACAGAAAACTTATATGGACCTCGAAAAGATGCAGGAAGTCGATGGATGCAGGTGACTCAGATCCATTCTTTGCCTTGGGGGAGGCCTCTAATGAACAGTGTACTTGTGATGGCCTATAATGAAGACGATGATGAATGGTCTTTTGATTTTTGACAGTAATTCTAAAATATATAATTAAAAGGAGCCCGTCACTTAATATGTTCTTGAAATATTAATTTCTCAGAAACGAAGACTTAATCAAACATCGAGTACAGGATAAGCTGATAAGCGATCACAAAAAATGTACGATTAATAAATCGGCAACGGCATTCGAACTCTTTATCTAGCGTGCTATGTGAATTCAGGATTTCTTTGCTGAGCGATCACATTACTAGCTTTGCTCGCGACTACGTTCTCATAGAATATTTTCTTCAATAGTTTTAATTTTTTTAATATATAATTTAATTTTTTAATAATAATTTTATAATATATGTGGCGGCGCTGTCGTCGCGCCACAAGCGAAACACATCGAAGCCTAAATCGCGCTATCAAAGTTCCGAAATTAAACAGCATATATAGAATAGCTCCGAACTACCAATGGAGCGTTGGCCGCTCCCCGGGCAGAACACCTTGCCCGGCGGGAGATCTCCCCTTTTCCTTCCACCCGCTACAGTGGTGACCAACCGACGTGATATGAACACGCAACCAACAATCTTCGGAAACTACAATTTCAAAAACTTCGTCATCTTACTCAAGTACCCCATTCATTCGCTCCCGAGCAGATATTGTCTGCAGTCTTCACATTCTGCAAGCCACCTAGCTTTACAAAGGTTCATCGCAGCACTGGAATAATAATGCTTCCTGTTCCTTCAAGCTACTCTCTGCGCTATAGTGTTCGGCACGGCTCTGAGCCTTACTGCTCGCCTCTGCTTCACGGCACTCTCGCAGATTACTTGCCTTCTTCTCGACTCACCGCAGACTACAAGGCAATCCCTGGCACTTGCTCCGGCTCATCGTTCTCACCGGCATCACTTGCAAGTGCGTAGTACGGCATGCATTACACACCGGCATATCATTCGCACCGGCGTCACTTGCCCTTACGCACACAGCATGCATTCCCCACCGGCATTTAAGGACGCACCGGCAATCGGACTGCACTATCGACCTCCGGTCTGAGCAGGGGGGTGATGTGGCGGCGCTGTCGTCGCGCCACAAGCGAAACACATCGAAGCCTAAATCGCGCTATCAAAGTTCCGAAATTAAACAGCATATATAGAATAGCTCCGAACTACCAATGGAGCGTTGGCCGCTCCCCGGGCAGAACACCTTGCCCGGCGGGAGATCTCCCCTTTTCCTTCCACCCGCTACATATAGAATAAGGGTGACAAACTAGCAAACAGTCCACCTGATGGTAAGTAAATGCGGTGGCCGATTAACTTCTACATCTTTCCTCGATTAAGATTCAAAATGCAGAGCATTGCATGAGGACTAAGATGGAATGCCTCGTTTCCAATAAAATGAGTATTTCACACTGGTATTCTGTTTGACCGTGGTCCTTCGCAAGTCGAGCCGGCCCATTCGTGCTATAACCATAAAATAGCTGCAGCATGGCTCTACAACGTACTGCCGAGTAAGCTAGTAAATTTACTCGGTTTGAAGCTCTATTTCTTTTCTTTAGGCTTAATTTTGATTTTATAAATTGTAATTCTGATTCTTTACGGTCTGTAAGTTTTGATTGGCTAGCATGTAAGAGGCGCGCGCATTGCGTTTTGTTATTGGTGAACAACAAATAGTATAGACAGAGTTATTAGTAATTATAATATACCTACGCCTTGTTTATATATAATTTTTAAATTTAGTTGGATACATAGAATATTCATTCGTCAGGTTTAGGTTTAAAAATAACTGAGTAGTAAAAGGTGAATTACCACAAGTAGATTACCTATAGTATAATTTAATAAATGAGTTATAAAATAAATATATATTGAAGATGCAGCCTTATTCGTATCTGTTTACTTCTGAACAAGGCCTCCCCCATAGATTGCCTTACATAGGAAGATATATGCCATATTTGGCACGCTTATCTTTATATCATCATAATCATTACTGCCCTTCACAATTCTACTGCTGAACATAGGCCTTCCCAAAGGAATGCCATAAAGAACGGTTCCGAGCCATGGTAGACTTCCTGCATGTCTTACCAGGCCGTCACTCCATCTAGTGGGGGTCGCCCTACACTTTGCCTACCGGTACGAGGCTGCCACTCGAGAACATTTTTACCCCATCGGTTTTTGGTTCTTGGACCAACATGACCGGCTCATTGCCGCTTACTAATCAATTGGGCTATGTCGGTCACTATGGTTTTACTATTTGTCCCAGATAAACATACTCGTCAACAACTTCGAGCTTAGTGCTCTCAACTACTACCGGCATATGTGTGACATGGACGTTACGCATGATCCTTGTTTTGTCCATGTTCATCTTGAGACCTATCCGTTGGGAGACACTATTGAGGTAATTGAGCATATTCCTTAATTCATCCAGCTATCCTACCATAATGTCTTTCAACGCAGCGGTGAAGACTTTAGGGGATTTAACATCACTCTGTCTTTACACCTCGCTGCAGTTGGATAGGTTTCGTACTCTGGTTCTGTACTCGGTTAGCCATCGTAGCCCTACTGTACAAACACTTCTCTGAAGGGACTGTAGCACCGCCCAAATTTCTAGGGAATCAAAGGCTTTCTCATAGTCCATATACGCAAGGCAGAGTGGCAGATTGTACTCTTCGCTCTTTTGTACAATTTGCCGAAGGGTATGTATTTGGTCTATGGTACTAAAGCCTTTTCGGAAACTGGCTTGTTCGGGAGCCTGGAAGTCGTTGAGTCTGCGTGCGAGACGATTCATAATGACTTTCGAAAACTGCATGTAGACAGACTCGGCTCAGAAGGGAAATCGGTCTGTAGTTCTTCAAGAGAGCATTGTCGCCTTTCTTGAACAACAAGACCACCGCACTTTTGCTCCACGCCTCCGGAGTAGTCCCACCATGATGGACGGAATTAAAGAGCTTCTGAAGGACTTCAAGAATCAGTTTTCCACCCGCTTACGCAAGCTACGCTGTAATTCCATCCTCTCCTGGAGCCTTGCCGTTTTTAAGGTGCTAGACAGCCATTCTAATCGCGCTCTGACTGACGTCCGGAATATTATCGGAATAGTGTCGGATAAGATTTGCTCTTGGATCTTTACTCACACTTGCGTGTGGCTCCAACGATCTCCACGACGAACGACGTTTACAGCTGCACATAGAACGTCTCAATCTCATTCATAATCTCAGGTGTCCCGGAAACGATGCCGCCACACTCGGTCTTCAGCTTTGACAGTTCTCTTTCTGGCAGACAGATGTCTGGCAAAGACTTTCGAGCATTGGTTCCGCTCGATCACTTCTTCAATACGATCTGTATTGAAGAAGTGATCGAAGGAGAGTTGACTGCATTAGACGAGATCTTTCCAACTTAACGTTTAGGTTCAGTGTGCCTCTAACCATTCGGCGATCGCTGCCAGTTTTCACAACAGCAGGAACAATCCAGTTGTCATAATGATGTCAGTCTCATTTTTTATCAAACCGTTGGTGCTCGTTCAAGACCACTGCCTGACTGTGGGGCCGCTTCTGGAAGAAACAGTTTATCATAAAGAGTACCTCTTTCGCCATGAAGTCGGCCAGCTGCTGGCGTTTGGGTTCCGTTGCCCTATTCCGAATTTCCCTACATTCAGCTCACCGTTCTCTCTTATGCCTAGTTTTGTGTTGAAGTCTCCTATTAACATCGTATAGTGAGTTTTGGAGGAATGCACGGATTTAGAGATATTCTCATACGTTTGCTCTACCTCCTGGTCGAGATGCGCCGAGGTTGCAGCGAAAACATGTTTGACTTTCAATGAATACCGATTGGTGATTTTGAGTATAAGGTACGCAACCCTCGTCGACACATTCACAATCCTTACAACGTTGTTAACGAGAGACTTGTGGACGATAAATCCGACACCTCCTTGGGACAGATGGTCGCCCTCCCGGTATATATTACCGGGAGGGCGACCATCCTCGAATCCGGCAACTTGTTATAACAAGTTGCCGGATTCGAGGATTATCGTGTCCTCCCCCTCTCTTCGGATCTCGGATAATCCTATAATATGTCAGCGTAACTTGTCTATATCTATTCTTCCAGCTCCAGGATCTTCTCGTCAGTCCTCAGGGTGCATGCGTTGTATGTTGCCAGGTCGAGTCGTCTTAGGTGGCAACCGAACCTCCACCGGAGATTCTTAGCACCCCCAGCCCCACTGTTATCATGGTCGCCACTGTAGCCAGGAATAGGGGGCCGCCTGGGATTGGGGGCCGTTTCTTCGTAACTCTCATCATGGGGGGATGTCTTTATATACCGTTATCAAATTGGACGAAAACGTAACTATAATAATGACCTGATGATATAGTAAGTAAACTCCTAACGATGGAATACTGTAGTGGTCAATGGTAGCGTCTTGAAGTTTACCATGCACATTGAATAAAAAGCGGCCAAGTGCGAGTCGGATTCGCCCATGAAGGGTGAAATCATTTGTATGTAAATTAAAAATTGACTTGTAAATGCGAATTGCCTCTTCAGTACATATTTTACGTCATATGTTGTTACTATGTTGCTCTAATCTAAAACGTTTACTGTAAAACTAAATTAATACGTAGCTAATAGTAAAAAATGATATGAGTGTTGAGTGTGGGCAAATCTTTCAGCTCTATTTGCCAGCTGGCGCATTCGCAGCAGCGAACTTATAAAGAAAAACAAAAAGAAGTTAAAATTGTGTAAAAAATTAAGAAATACAGCACTGAGGCATTGTTTTGTACATATACATACCCATACATATACATACACTAGAAACCAGAAAAACTTTAATTTAAAACGGATTTTTCAATGATTGTAACACTGTGTGATCATCTGCGTAACAAATAAGTTCACCTTAATCCCAACTAGGCACATCTGGTGAATGTCAGAATAAACCCTCATTACGCATGCTAGGCAGTGTTCCTTGTTATTATTATTAATAAATTTAAAATATAGAGAATAATTAATTTGTCTATTTATTTTGTTACAGTATTGGTTGTGTGTGGTAGCGTTACTTGGTTCGGGAATTTTCTTCGCTGTCATCAACTTGTATTGGAAGAAAGGTAAGATGGTTTTAATGTTCCTAAACTAAAAAAGGTCTTCTTAAGAAAAATAGTTAAAAATGAGGTTTAAACCAGGATTAATTGGTATCTATTAATATTTAGTCCAGACGTCTAAACTAGTTTTTATTTCGAGAGCCAGGTTTTCTCATGATTTCTGGATCACAGATCATAAAAACTATCAGCATATAGCTTATAGAATGCCGTAAACACGGCGATAGAGCTTATTTAAGACTAGTTGTGCCCGTGACTTCGTTCGTATAGAATAATTGTTAGTAATTATTTGTTATATATACTTTCTTATTTGAATCGGATTTTGTTCACAATATCATGGGTATTTTTTTCGCTGAACTCCAATTCTTTTTCTTAAATAAAAGTAGCCTAAGTTACTCCTAACATTAGCTATCTGCCAGTAAAAGTCCCGTCAGAATAAGGTCTAGTAGTTGAGGAAATTAGCTGGAACAAAAGGACAGACAGACAAAAATGTTATGAATATTTTTTGTTATAAGATATATCTTATGTACTTTTATATGCATTTTTTTGACATTATAAACAGACATTACAATTTTATAAATTTTGTTTATAACAAAAATTCGAAGAAACTGGAATACTGATAAAATATTTTAAGTTCGGTGGCCTGACACATCACCTTTAAATCAAAGATTAATCGCCGTTTTCTATTAAAACATTTTTTAAAAGTTTCTTAGAAAAATTTATATCACGCAGACTAGAATGCGAAGCTTAGTGATGAGTAATGTTCATTCGCTTGGCGGGAATGTCGATAATTTGAGTTCTGTTACATTAATTACTTGCTTTGCTTTTACTGTTTTTGTATGTGTTATTTGTGCATATTATTGACTAGTGTACTATACTAAAAATTTTACTTGGTTAATTGCTTAATTAATTTGTTATAAGCAAAATAATTGTGTTATTGTCTTTTTCGTTTAAGAATCGACCAGTTTAATTATTTAATGTCGTAAATCCATATTACTTCAGTTTTCATGTGATTCAAAAGTTAAACAGAAAAATGTATGGGCCTCTTAAGGAGGAATAATTATTATACATTAAATATAATATATAGCCGTTGTAGCTTACAAGCTCGCTGTAAATTACAAAGTACCCGAGCAACCCAGGGACGAATCCAGCAAGCACCAATGAATTTTTTTTTATAGGATAAGGGTGACAAACGAGCACACAGTCCACCTGATGGTAAGTGGTTACTGTGGCCCATACGAAACACAGCAGCGTTAAGCTGCTATTTGACGCTGGTATTCTGTGAGAGCGTGGTCCTTCCCCGGTCGAGCCGACCCATTCGCGCTACTACCATAATATAGCTGCAGCATGGCTCTACCACGTATATTATTAATAGCAACTTTACTTGTTAGCTCATGGTGCGATCTAAGGGGTCGTAGATTTTACGCCGCTACCATACGGCGAGGAGCCGAGTCTATCCTATCGGCTTTGTCGGCTTTGTCGCTCGTTTAGCACCACCCGGGGGTCACGTGTAGGGTGGGCCTAGGATTAGGTGGTCGAAGCCTACGGACGCGAGCGACTCAAAAAAGGAGGCGAGAGAGGTGTGTCAGGATCGCGCCAAATGGAAGTCCGTAGTCTGCCTACCCCTCTTGGTGACAGGCGTGAGTGTTTGTGTAGTGTTGTTGTGTTTTGATAGCAACTTTAAGTGCTGATTTACCACGTGTTCCGCGGTGAATACAGCAAAGGCGTGGTACAGTATCTGTATTTCCATCTAATTGGAATGTGTTTTTTGTTGTTGTAATAACGTTGAATGTATGTTTCAAACTGCTAGAGGTAGAAATTTTAAATAAATCATTAATCAGTATTGTTTTCATTGAAATCGTCATAATTATTTTAATGTGGTATTATCGAAGTGTTATGTTAAAAATAATTTAAATAGTATGTAACTGTGAGCGCACATTTTTTATGAGTCATCATTACAGTTAAATGGACAATAGCATTACTAAGACTGAAAACAATTTGTATTGTTAGTATGTACTGTAAATAGTTCTATTGATCTTAAACATCATACTTATGTTTGATATTTACGTATTAGTAGCCATTGAAACAATTTTATCTTATTAATTTGTATTCTGTGTCAAGCTGTCAATGTTTTGTTAGTAACATCATATTTTGCTTCATAATAGAAAAGATAATTTGATCTTAAATGCACCAAAACTAAAATAAGACTAGGCCGTCATGCATCTTTGGCCCGAAATCAAGGCCAAGAAATAGATGGATAAATGACATCAACAGCTCAGGAGTTTCAGGAGTTTTAGCCAGTGCTTGACTATAATCAATCCTGATGGTCGATGAAAGTATTTCTGTAGCCTAGAAATATTTTTTCTTATAGCGGGTACGACCCGTGTGCAATTTATTTATGTGAACCATCTTCATGATGAGTTAATACTTAAATATTATATTAATATATATAATAATTAAAGTCGTTTAAATACGTTTCGACAGCACTATCGCCTTCAACGTCCTCGAAAACCATAAAAATGACAGCCATGATGAAAAAATTGGTACCTACTTCAGCCGCCATCTTGGATTTACATTTCGACAGGACTATCGGTTTCAATACCCTCGAAACACATGTAAATGACACCCATGATAAAAAAATTATACCTATTGCAGCCGCCACCTTGGATTTACATTTCGATAGCACTATCGGCTTCGACACCCGCGAAAACCATGAGAATGACACCCATGATGAAAAAATTGATACCTATTGCAGCCGCTATCTTGGATTTACATTTCGACAGCACTATCGGCTTCAACACCCTCGAAAACCATGAGAATGACACCCAAGATGAAAAAATTGATATCTATTGCAGCCGCCATCTTGGATTTACATTTCGACAGCACTATTGGCTTCAACGCCCTCGAAAACCATGAAAATGACACCCATGGTGAAAAAATTTATACCTATTGCAGCCGCCACATTGAATTTACATTTCGACACCACTATCGGCTTCAGTACCCTCGAATACCATGAAAATGACACCCATGATGAAAAAATTGGTACCTATTGCGCCCGCCATCTTGGATTTACATTTCGACAACCCTATCGGTTTCAGCACCCTCGAAAACCATGAAAATGTCACCCATGACAAAAATATTGAATCTACTTACTTTTAGTACGTACTACTATTATTTATTCTGTGCTTTGAAAATATTGTAATAAAAAAATCTCTCATTATTATAATCAAGTATTTAAGAAATTTGGTTATTCGAATATTGTGTACTTGTACAGCGATCTTTTTGAGCCGCTGCAAACAACCGAAACAATGTCCACTCACGACGGCGACTGACGCCGAACTGAGTGAGTGAGTAAAGTACTCTGTGGCTGTAGCTCAGAGTGCGGCTTCCGCCTATTTACAGAAATAATTTACATACAAGGCTACCAAATCAACGAAAATTTCGCCATTTTGGAGCCGAAAAAAATTAATTATAGCTAAACAAAACAAAATTACACTGCCATTTACATTCAGTGGCTTCCCATATGATAGATGAAGAAATTAAAAAATAGATTGAGTTAAACAATGGATATTTTCAAAAGTTATAGTGTTTACAAGCCTTGCGGACTTGATAAATCCACACCATAAGCCACTAAAACCCCTTTTTTATTTAAAAATAGCAATTAATCGATTTAAGAAAAATATTAATAAGTTCAACAATCATTTATCTTTCTAACAATGTGCTTTTATATCATTTATATGTATAATATGATTGCTAGATACGATTTCATTCGATAAAACGTTGGAATCTTAATTTTTAGGCGATAGTAGAACATACCTTCCGCTTTCAATATTTGCATGCAATATTTCCGATTGAGAATAAATGCTATTTTCTAAAACAACCTTAGTCACTGTGATAAAGAACGATTGTACAACCTTTACAGTCAAAAGACAACTAAAACAATATTACTCAAAATTTCTTTTCGTCGTTAGTTGTAATCACAAAATAGGAAAATTTGTAGCCATAGCGTTATAAGTATTCACACTGTAGTGGTGGCCTAAGACCGTAAGAAAAGCCATCACACTTAGAAATCTGCCTTCGATAGATGACGGGATACAGATATAGTCACCCGGACCGGTGAAGGGAAGCAGTGTCAAAGGTTTCAGATATTATAGTGCCATCAGTGGTCAGCGAGCGAAGACCAAAGATAGGAAACATATATTATCACATTTATATGATATTTTTAATTGATGTCAAGAAGTTAAAAAAATGTGTGGCCTCCGCAAAGGCGTTTGATTTCTGCGAAGTATTAAAAAGAAAATAGAAACTTTTTATTCAATATAGATTATAAATAATAGTTATTGAAAGTCAACTCTTATGATTAATTTACAATGATTCGGAATATACCTTTGTCCTGGGAAGAAAATTGCAGTATAAAATACAGCGGGACGTTTTGTTTTTTTGAAAAAAAATGAAAGAGAACAGTTTACAATCATTAAAGTTTTACAATAATTAACAACACAAAACAAATTAAAAATAGCACCTAATCATCTCATTGTTCTTAAACATGGTTTAATGCTTGCGCTAAATGTAATCAGTAAGGAACCTGTCTCACACCCCCCTAGTTTTGTTATTTAAAAAAATTAACAATAATAAACTATACCTATACCTTACGTGAAATGGTATTATTTCTAATATTCACCTCATCACGGTATATAGTATATATTTAAAAATGTTTTTAATATAGAATTGTTCGTCATTTATTCCAGATTGATTCCAAATTTAAATAAAAGAAATAATGAAATATGATAAATTATAATAAAATTAAATAAAAAAATAAATTCAGTTGAACTACAGGGAGATAATTTTGTACATACAGAGTTGTGATAATTTGACATTTTATTGCAATGCAATGTCGATGTTTAACTGGAGAAGAGATGTTAAGAGCAGTGGGAATGCTGCAGGCTTTTCAACGTGACGTCGCTGCGGCAATAGGCACCAGACAAAATATGATTTTGACTTTGTGGTCACACTTTCCTGCCACGGGGTAGGTGACAGAGAGATATCCAGGGCCAGCCGCATCACAACACCCAGTTAAGACCGTTTTTTGCAAATTGCCGCGAGAAGGCAACCAAATGTTACGGCAATGCAATTGGCCCAATAGCTATACAGTCTGAACACCAGGTGCTTGTGAGTGACCAAACTGTGAGCAGGAGACTGCACGAAGTCAATCTTTATGCTCGTAGACCACTTCGTGGTTCAGCTCTAAGAAAAGGAAATCGTAGACAAAGACTGCAATGGGTTAGAGAACATGTGAACTGGGTACTGGGAACCTCATTAATGGTCGTTGGTGCTTTTCAACCATGAATTCCGATTTAGTTTTCATCCTGATTCGAGGAAAGTAAGTGTTTGGGAGAGTTTCTGGTCGTACAAGCCGGTTTCAACACCCTCAAGAAATTACCATTTGGTGTGGGCGGGAATTCGTTTTGGTGGAAGAGCGGACCTCGTTTGGATACCGAGCACCATGACGGCTGAAAAATACCGTAATGAAGTGGTCAAAATTTCCTGCTTTATGCACGACAATGTCCGTTCACATCATGCTAGGGTAATAATAACAACCTGGTTGCACGAACACGATGTCACTGTCCTAGAATGACTAGCGCAATCCTCATATTTAAAGGCCATTGAGCATGCTTGGGATATGCTCCAAAGAAGAGCTCTAAAGGATTTTCCTGAAAATCTGTTTACAGAATAACAACTTTTGCATGCATATCAGTAGCACCTGGGACAATATTCCTCCACAGGATATTGACAACTTTATTCTAAGTATGCCCAACCGATGCAGATGCGTTATGAATGTCATGGGTGCTTTTACCTACCATATTAACTCTTTAATTAATAGCCGCCTTTAAAAGCTTTTTTTTTACTTTACTTTATTTCTTAATTATAAATCAAATTCATGATTTACAATTTTCACAGTTGCGTTTTCTTTTCTCCGTATACAAATCTGAAATATCATTTAAGTCAATGTTTATATAAAAAATGGTAGTATATTAAATAAAGTTTTCTTGAATATTTTATGTCTTAAGAGAATATTGACACACTCTTTTTTTTTCTTTGGAAATGTTGAAATGTTGTTAAAATATCCCTATACCGTGTTTTTTTTATATAGGATATGGTGACAAACGAGCACACAGTCCACCTGACGGTAAGTGGTTGCTGTGACCCATAGACATCCACATCTATCCTTAATAACGAATCAAAATGCAGATGCGTTGTCACACATGAGAACTAAGATGGAATGTCTCTTTTCCAGTAAAAAGGGTGTCCGGTTCTCTACACTCACCATACGAAACACAGAAGCGTTAAACTGCTATTTTATTTTATTACTACTATATTATTTTATACGCTGGTATTCTGTGAGAGCGTGGTCCTTCCCTGGTCGAGCCGACCCATTCGTGCTACATCTATACTACTAATATAGCTGCTAGCTGCAGCATGGCGTAAAAAACGTGTTGATGTGTTTATCTAAATATTTCTTAATTTTTTTTCATTTATGAAATTAAATAGTTAAAACGATATAATTAAAGCGATTATGAACTTGTTTCAAGGATCGGTACCTAATTACTGTTGTCCTTACTAAATTTTTGATATCATATTTCAGTGTTGACGATATTTGGCACGAGCGTCTACGGTGGAGCAGTTATAGCGACCACCCTTGATTACTTCTTCGAGAGGATGATGATGCTAAAATGGGTAGGCAGAGTAGCATATACTAAGTATAACTTTAATCTATTTTTTAAAAGATCTACATATAATCAATTTCGTTCGAGAATACGAGTATATATAAATAAGAAAATATACTTAAGAAAAAGTATATTATTTTAATTTTTTTACTAATTTTTAAATTATTTAAAAGCAAAGGAATCTTCCCCATCGGTTGTCGGTTCTTCAAGCTATATAGACGGCTCAGTGCCACATCAGCTTACTGATCTTTTGAGCTATGTAGGTTACTTTGGTTCTACTGCAAATATCATCATTACAAAGTTAATCAGGTTCTCAAGTGGCAGAGTGACGACCTGGCAAGAGATGCAGGAAGTCAGAAGTTTAACAGTGGTAGAGCCACGCGGCAGCTTTTGCTGTCGCACGGATGGGCCGGCTCGAATCGGGGTGCTACCACCACCTCACAGAATACCAGCGTGAAGTAGAGGTTTACCTCTGCGTTTCGCTTGGTTAGTGCAGGTGGCCGGAGGCCCTTTTTACTGGAAATGAGGCATTCTATCTTAGTCCTCGCGGGTGACAACGCATCTGCATTTTGATTTGTAATAGAGGATAGATGTAGATGTCTATGGGCCGCAGCAACCACTTACGATAAGGTGGACTGTGTGCTCGTTTGTCACCCTTATCCTATAAAAAAAAGTCGATGACTGCAGGTGGCTAAAAACCATGTTTTGTGCCATTGCTTTTGGGAAGTCTATGTTCAGCAGAGGCCTTGTTATGGGCTTTAATGATAATAATGATGATGATGAATAGGATGTTTATTTTGTTCATAAAAGTTATTACTACTTATTGAAGTAATATGTACTACGTACTAGAACAGACTACTCGAATAAAATTTGTGTATCATGTGACCATGTGCGTCAGTGCGGGGCATGCGGAAGGTTTATGAGTCAAAAATGCGTCATGACTACACAGAAGTGACACTTTGTTTATATTAGTAAAATAATTTGTATAAAAAGTGATTGTTTTGATTATGATAACTAGTGGTCGCAAAGGGGTTGAAATTTGACTGTAAGCTATATTTCACTTTCAACTGCACATTAATAATATATAGAACACAGGATATTTAAAATGCAATATATAAAATAAACTCTTTTTAACCTGACATACATTCCACAGACTATTAAGGGAGGTATATTTAATATCACACAAAATTCACAAATCATTCAATCAATCAGTCGGTAATTATTTATTGGCAGCATTTTAAAATTCTTTGACGACAGTCTCTACTCTGTGGTAAAACGTAGTTATTATACACTAATTGCTCTGTGCGACTGTTTGACCACAGACTATTATGTGTTTGACACGTGTAAGGTAGTCTATGGTTTGGCACTATGAATGTAAACAAACGACAGATTAATAAGTGCTTAACATTGGTAGTATAAAAGTAAACCATAAATGTTTTATTTTATTTAATTGCACTCATTCTCCTTATAATCTTTACCTATGCGAAATCTCACACCACTCCGTGCGCGGAATATGCTTATAAAGGGGGTACAAAGTTCTTTCTTCACGTATCATAAAAATTATATAGATAATTTTACTTAATGCTGTGTACAGTGAGAAAAAAACCATTATAATGAAATACAAGATTTAATATCCACTGAAAAATACAAGTTTTGTTAGTTTCTGCCATTTAGAAGTCGTATTTTTGTGTACTGATTTTTTATAGCTCAAAATAAACAGACTCTGTCGTTGAACGTAAATGGGAGTATGCATTTCATTATTATAAAATACTAGCGATCCGGCCCGGTTTCGCACGTGTGATATCTGGATCTTGACAACAGCGTCACCTAGCGCCACAGGAAGTGGACCTGGTCAAGCCCCGATGGTTCGACAAAAAATGAGATTGACTTCATTATGACGACCAGACGACAACTGTTCAGTGATGTCTCAGTGATCGCGAGGGTGAAAACCGGCGGCGATCACCGAATGGTGAGAGGCACACTGAACCTAAGCGTTAAGTTAGAGTTCTTCTTTCTTCTTCGCTCCATAACCCTCGTGCTCTAATCCAAAGTCCCAAAACCTTTTAACTCGAGCTACAAAACCGGTTTCATTGCCTAGAAGATTGCAATGCAGTGGACGATATGAATGACAAACTAAGTTCTGCAAGACCAGCCGCAGAAGAACACAAAAACTCTCCGATCACACTCTTAATATCATGGATGTTAGACGCGAAATGAAGCTGCTGTCTTCAGCAGATTTGACAGCGTACTGGCAACTGAACAGACAGATCTCCAATTGCATGCGGCGGGACTTACGCAACTTCAATATAGCTCGTATTAAAGAAGGGATCGAGCGGAATCAGGGCTCCAAAGTCTTTGGTAGAGATCTGTCTGCCAGAAAGAGCCAACTGTCGAAGCTGAAGACCGAGTGTGGCAGCGTCGTTTCCGGGAAACCTGAGATTTTGAGTGAGATTGAGCTGCTGTACACATCATCGTTGGAGCCACACGCAAGTATGAGTAACGATCCAAGAGCAATTCTTATCCGACACTATTGCGGATGTCAGTCTGAGCGAGATTAGAATGGCTCTCCAGCACCTTAAAACGGCAAGGCCCCAGACGAGGATGGAATTACAACGGAGCTTTTGAAAGCGGGTGGAAGACCGATACTTGAAGTCCTTCAGAAGCTCTTTAATTCCGTCCTCCATGGTGGCACTACACCGGAAGCGTGGAGCAGAAGTTCGATGGTCTTGTTCTTCAAGAAAGGTAACAACGCTCTCTTGAAGAACTACTGACCGTTTTCCCTTCTGAGCCGCGTCTACGTACTGTTTTCGAGAGTCATTACGAATCGTCTCGCATGCAGACTCGACGACTTCCAGCCTCCCGAACAAGCCGGTTTCCGAAAAGGCTTTAGCACCATAGACCACATACACACCCTTCAGCAAATTATTCAGTCCGAGGAGTAAAATTTGCTACTATGTCTGGCGTAATTGGACTGTGAGAAATCCTTTGACTCCGTCGAAATTTCAGCGGTGCTGCAGTCCCTTCAGCTGTGCTAAGTTGACTGTCGGTATGTCGAAGTGCAGAAGTGTTTGTACAGTAGGGCTACGATGGCTATCCGAGTACAGAACCATAGTACGAAACCTATGCAACTGCAGAAAGGTGTAAGACAAACTTTATATCCTCAAAACTCTTCACCGCTGCATTGGAAAACGTTTTCAAGCTTCTGGACTGGAAAGGATACGGTATTAACATGAACACCATAAGCACATCCCTCACCTTCGATTTGACGACGATATAGTCCTTATGGCAGAATCGCTGGAGGACCTAAGCACTATGCTCAATGACCTCAATAATGCCTCCCAACGGATAGGTCTTAAGATGAACATGGACAAAACAAAGATCGTGTATAACGTCCATGTCACACCTATGCCAGTAGTTGTTGCGAGCACTAAGCTTGAAGTTGTTGACGAGTATGTTTACCTGGTACTAATAGTCCGACTAGGTAAGTCCAACTTCGACCGAGAGGTCAATCGACTATAATCTATCTCTAAAATTGGAGATTGGATTTTTGTCACATTGTATGTTTATTGCTAATACACATTTACAAAGGACATTGTTTTTCGTCCATACAATATTCGCCTAAGAACTGACAGGGAAAAAAATACCTTTTTAAGTCCGAAATTACACATAATTGTATGTAAGAACAATAACTCCTGACGGACACTTCTGAAAACTTAGATATTTGCAGTTATCATAGAGATTTTGAGGTTTTGTTTTATGTTTATGAAACATTACTATGTTATTGCCAATGTAAGCAGTTCAGTTTTAGCCTATCATTTATACGGTAAATAAAACTCAGGTTGTGATTAGGTATTTATTTTATTCATACCAAATAAATACAACATAATTATACAGTCTCATTTGGTTAAAGTCCCTGATTCAAGCCAGGTGGGTCGCTAAAGAAGAGTATCGATATCCGTTGTTCAAGCCGTAGTTCGTAATTTATTTAAACTTATCGCATAACAAACCAACTACAGAGTGCACTTAGATTCCAAAAACATTTACAGAAATGTATTTTTTCAAACGAAACCAAAACAATAGCACGTCTGACGTCTATCTATTTTGACTTGCTGTCATCTGTCAACGTAATTGACTTTTTTTTGCGTGGCACAATGCTGATTTGCCAATGAGATGACAATAGTATTGTTATTTTAAATGAAAATAGATGATTTCACTGTACCCCAGTTCCTTGTGGCATATATTATTAATCTGAGATATATTTTAAAATATAAACGTTTTCATAATATATTTGAGTTTATGACAACTTTTGAAATATATGAGTGAAGATATTGTGCGAATGGCCAAATCACAGGAGGCCATAAACGCAGCAAAATAGTATTAAAAAATAGGTACAAAGTTCAAAATCGAAAAAGTCCTTTTTATTTTGATTTCACGAGTGAGAAGTGTCCGTTACTATCTAATGAATGTTATCTAATGCATAATTATGGATAAGAATTTTGGTAATTGTCAAATATATGTTGGTTCTTAGGCGAGTTTTAACATTGTCCTTTTATTGAAATCAGTTTAGTAGTTTAAGAGTTCATCGCGGACATACAATGTGACACATATTTTTTATATATAAAGATTTTATAGTGATCATATCAGCAGTTTATATTTTCCTATATTTATTCAATAACAACCAAATAAAATATAGTGATTGTACTTTTGTAAATGGTGTCACATCTGCGTAGAATAGCTTAATTTAATACTCTCGAGTATTAAATGAAGCTATTCTTAATATAAATATAATATAAAGCTAGTAATTACATACATAATATGTATGTATGTACTTACATACATATTATGCATGTAATTACTCATACGATTTAATATTTATGAATGAAACATGTCCCCCAGCCCAGTGACGTGTAGCTACATGTGACAATTAATAAATATAATTGAATTGCGTGTGTGTTATCAATAATGCAGTTAACTGAAGTGCAAAAAGTCACACTATAGCCTTTACTTGTCTTTTCTTGAGCGGTTTTAGGCAGTATTACCTCAGTGCACATGAAGGCATGGTTGCGGCAAACGCCTGGTACTGCCTATTCTGCCTTGGTATGCTGTTTCGGCAAGTACGACTAGTACATATTACTTAAATGTTACTAGAATGCATCATCAGATTCAACAACTTTCGAAACTAATTGTTTCACCAAAAATATTTATAAATATCCTTCTTGATTTTTTATATAAAATTAAGGTTTAGTAAAATCATACATAACGTTTGTCGTAGATATAGTTGACATCATTCTATCCACGTAGATCTCATCGCCTTGTAAATTTGTACGAACGCCGATGTAGTGCATCGACTAAGATGGGAGGTATATGGTACTGAAATTGGCAATTTCGCCTGCCAAGTGTTGGTTAGCTAGGTAATTCTTCCTTACTAAGAAGGCCTCATCTCCGGTGATTGTTCATGGGATGATTGTTAGATTAAATATTGGAATAAAATAATCTTTAGTATGTATAATACTCTGTTTGAATAACAATCTGTAAAGTTTAATCAAATGTGAATTGCGAATAGGAAGTCCAGGAATAAAACATGTACCAATTTTTTTCTTGTCGTAGTTATGGGAACGCGCTAAGTTAGAGCCAGCCGTACCGCCGCCATGTCGTCTGTCATGGCTGACACTTGCCGCATGGCCGGCCGCTGCCATTGTTGGTCTAACAGCACAGTTTGCTCTCACGGCTACTGGGATCTATCATGAACAAAGTGAGTTCTAGGTTACAGCTTTAGGTTACATGTGCTTGACAGCTATCACTTCTCAGAAGTGACGACTCATTTGTATGAATATAATAGTAATGATAACCATGGGATTTTTATGCTCTATATATTGCCTACTAAGTACAGTACAGTACGGTAGGAATTCATATTCATTCATATGTTAAAATTATTCTAAAAAATTAAAAGAATATGCTCCATAGCTAAGTATTTTTATTTAAGCAACAAATTAAAACGGCTTCTATTAAAACAAAAGTGGCGTGTGTAAGGAGGAGGCTTCTTGCCAGGGCCTCTGACCTTGTTCACCATAACATGCGAGTGCGGCAGCTTGGTTTTTCTGCTCACAGTGGTCAACAACATTTTTTGTGAATTTGTGGGTATTCTTACAGAAAATAATATTTCTAACTAAAAGTAGATAGGTGATGGTGGGCTTTATGGTTATTAGTAAGTAATAAAGGAATTGCACTGGACACTTAATTCTATACATTGTTAAAAAAGGATTGAAATAATATACTATAAGGCATTTTGCCGCACCACTGAAATTGTGAGTTAGAATTTTAAGTGCTGAATTACTACGTGTTTGGTGGTAAAGGAAAACATCATAAGAACACCTGCATATCTGAGAGATTAAAAATATTTCGAATTTTTTTATAGGAGAGGGGCCAAACGAGCATCGGATCTCCTGATGGTAATTGATTACTGCTGCCCATGAACAACTGCAACATCAGGGGAATTGCAGATGCGTTCCCGACCTTTGAAAAAGGAGTAAGCTCTTTGCTTGAAGGTCTCTAAGTCGTATTGGTCCGGAAAAATCTCAAAAAAGTGGTAGACCGCCAGTCATCCAGATGGTGTGGATGGTATCGCGAGTTTTGTCGCGATGTGCGATGGTGAAATTGTGTGGCTGGAATTAGTCCGAACAATTCCTCAGAGTACACCCAAAGAGTTCGGTCGCTGACGATTCGAATAGCTCTGCGCTGGATGTGATCAAATGGAGCTGGCACTGGGGAGCCCCAGCCCAGAGATGGGAACAGTATTCCACGTGCGGCCGAATCAGTGCCTTGTAAAGTTGCAGGCGGTGTGCCGGCATGATATACTGTCCCGTTGTGTTGAATATGCCAAGCTTTTTAGAAGCCAATTTGGCCTTCTCTTCCAAGTGACCACGAAACTGCACGTCACTCGATATGTCGACGCCGAGGATTCCGATACTGGCTGACGCAACAAGGGGAGTGCCTTGAAACTGAAGAGATACGACGAAGGGATTCTTTTTAGCGGTAAACGCGCAAACTTGTGTCTTCAGGAGATTGAACTGCACTAGATTTAGTCGCCCCCCAGTCCTAGACTTTGTTCAACAAAGTCTCGACTTCAGACACAAGTTTGTCCCGGTACACGGCGACGTTTTCCCCAGAAATATTGGCACGGCCGGTGTATAAAGCATCACCAGTGCTGTCATCCGCATAGCAACGAATGTTACCGGTTTGCAATATGTCATTGATATGCAGAAGAAACAGCGTTGGCGATAGCACGCAGTGTGGACAATTTGCTACATAATCCGTTGCAAAAATGAGTAGAGGTCGCACGTATTTTAATTACTTAAAAAAAAGTAATACGATCATTTTACAATTTTACCATAGAAAGTGAATGTAATAATTGAATAGAGATGAGAGGAAGATGCAAATAAATATAAACATATATATATAATATATTATACATGATAGGTATTTAATTTTTTTTATATTGGTTAATATATTTCAGTTTATATAATTTCACTAGGCCTCATGAATGTATGTGTTCCTGTGAAAGCTGAAGTGTCCACATCAAATCTTATTGTATTTTTTTTAGGTATAAACGCACAAAAGCGTCGTTTGAAGGTTCAGCAGTCGCGGCCGGTGACACGAGAGCAACGTGCCGAAATGAAACAGCGCAAGTATCGCTACCTCTACCAAGTGCGAACCGCACACGGAGATGTCATATCGCAGGTATGTCATCAATTTATCACTACACCCATAACAAGTCTAATGCTAAACATAGGCCTTCTTTAAGGAATGCCAAAAAGCTTGGGCCTGAGCCAACTGCATTCATCGACTACTAGAGAAACTTCGAATATAGCGTTTTCCATAACTCACTGAGTGACCTGGAGCTACCTCATACGGCGAGCAGTGAAGGACCACGTTTGCCTTCACACAGATTTAATTCAAAGAAAACTTAACTTATATCCAGCGGCCATAACTTACCACACCTTTTAGTGGAATGTGTCTCAGTATCATTTTTATTATATCGTCTACATATTCGGAATAAATTGTTGTTTATTTATCGAATATGGGCGACAAACGAGCACACAGTTCATCTGATAGTAAATGGATCATGTTGCTCATAGACATCTACATTTACCCTATAATTACCTTCTCCCTTCTATCCTTAATATAATGCAGATGTCTTGTCAGCCCTGAGATTTAAGATGATCATATAAAACTGAAGCTGCTATTTTCCGCTGGTATTTTGTGAAAGCGTGGTTCCTACCCCGATCGAGTCGATCTATTCGTGCCACAACCATATTATAGCTGCAGCGTGGTTCTACCATGTTTTAAAAGTACTTTGATATTTAATAACAAATGATAACAACGGTCAGTCTCTAATTCGCAGCACTTAGCACAGTCGGTTGTTTTTTTATTTGGAGATAATTTTTAATAAATTAAAATTTCAACTCTTAAATATTCTTATTACATAAACTAGCTGCGCCCGCGGCGTAGCTCGGGTATATAGGTTTTACTTAAAGAATTTGACGTTTATTTAAGAGAATATTAAACGATTTATATCATTACTTTATCAATAAGTGGTAACAAAATAAATCGTTATCCTCAAAGTTCTAAGTCGTTTATGATAGAGCTTCTGTGTAAACGACGTTAGAAGTAGACAGCCGGGTACAGTAGGTACACAAATAGATTATGGGGCTACTAACGCGGGAAAAAGCAACATAGAGTTGATCATGTGCAAAACAGTTAGTACTGAGGTCTACTCCTGGAACGAGTAAAGTTTGAGCTTGCGTTTTATTTACGGTCGTCGCATAACACACGCCGACTGGGAACTGAACACGCTTAAAACTAAAAGGAAAGTTATTTGGGATTAGAGGGATTCTGGGTATCAAAACAATATCATGACATTTTGTTGCAATTTTGTTAGTTTTTAATCGAGTTTCGTTGCATAGCTTGGGTGGGCGTGTTTTAAGTATATTATAATAGAACGTTTTTTTTTACACACGAATTTTTTGATTACTATTTCTGAGTTTTATGGCGCCTTTAAACAGATTCGAACCTAGATTTCAAAATAATAATCATAACTTTCGATAGAATTAACCAATTTTAATAAAACAAAGATTAAAAATGAACTCGGATATACGCTTTATGATTTTCTTAACGACTTCTTTGCAAAAAAAAAATGTTTATTCAAAACGTTATGCGTTCATAATCAAACAGGCAGACCGACAGATAGACAATTCTAAAAGATATAAAAATGTACTTATTTAATGATTTTCAGTCCCCATAATGATTCGAATATACGCTTTATGATTTTCTTAACGACTTCTTTGCAAAAAAGATGTTTACTCAAAACGTTATGCGTTCATAATCAAACAGAGAGACCGACTGACAGACAATTCTAAAAGATATAAAAATGTACTTATTTAATGATTTTCAGTCCCCATAATGATTTTAGTCACAAACATAGGTACCTACTATACAATGTACATAAACAGACACAACATGTTATCACCATGTTTATTATATGTATAGATTTAAAGAGAGATGGCGCTGTTAACATTAATTCTAAAAATAAAAGAGATTAATTGACGCAATTGATACATTATATAAAACATAAAAACACTTATAAATCAGTGCGTGCATAATAAGCAAAAAAGAAAGTTTGATCCTAGCCGAAACCAACGAAATTGTTAATAGCTCTTTTAAAATTTTATTTACCAATTAGATTACTCGGCGGTAAAGAATAATTGAGTTTGTCAACACCATAGAAATATTAAATAGAGGAGAAGTGGCAAGGGGGCATGTCTGTGTCCGCACGCTATGATCAAAATGCTCAGGTTCTATTCAAACGGCCGTCTCTGCGTATTAATATACTTTCAGCCGTAATCGTGAAACAATATCAGAATGCCATGTTATTCAGTGGTTTCTTGTAAAAGCCGAAGCCAAAACAAAATCTTTGTAGATCATGGAATCACTTACCATATGTAAGAACAAGTATTTTACTATCTTTATCTTTAAAATCATGAAAAACAACAAATTGTAAAATATTTTTTGCTCTTAATGCGTTAATTTTTGTTTTCAAATATCACTGCGACGATACTACTTTGTAGTGAATACATTGCTCCTTAACCACTACTTATGTATGTCGCTAAGCGACTGAACAAGCAATGTAAATATGACAAAACGATACTTTATTTATGGGGATGCATCGTGTAGTACGGCCACTGTATATTGCGATGAGTTAGTGTTGTGCTTGTGCAGATCAATTAACGTATGCTATCAACAACTATGTCGATTGGCGAATTGCTATTATAGTTTATTCTTTCAATTTGTCAACCGTTTCAGCCCGGTGATGTGACATAATGGTATTTAATTATTTTGATTATTTTCACCGTTTACTACACTGAATTCGTAACTAGCGATCATAAAGTAAGTTGCTTAAATAATTAGGTTAATCATCGGTGAAGCGTTTTAGGTTGAATTATAGTATATTATGCCTTATCTACGTGCTAATTCCATACTTTTATGTTTTCAAAAGCTTCGAATGCGTTATTATACCTAACTGGCATGGTTCAGAATTCAGATAATATTATAATAGTGACTTGCTAAAAATAAGTCAACATAATTAATTCTCCTGGCTATTTATTTGTTATGCATGAGTGTGTGTTTGTTTTCATATATTTAACAATATCTTGACCAACCAGGGTTTTTTTTACAAAAGCTTGCGAGGTACATGTTGAGGTTAAGAAGTTGCGTAGGATATATGTAAATGATAAATAAATTATTAACGTACATTTTCAGCTTCCCAAAAAGTAGTACCATATGCCAAAATACCAACTTTTTCAATACGCTATGACAATCTAAACCAACATAACCGGATTTTTTTATTGTATTTGTTAGGTAGGTTAGGTACTTAATAATTTACGTTTAGCTACATATTTTTTATTTTTATTATATAATTTCCTGTGCATATCATTTTTTATTTATTTTATTTTCAATTTTAGTGCAAAATTAGTATAAATGGAAGAGAATCGATAACTTTCCAATTTAGTCAATCGCTAATGTATATGTAAAAAATGGCTTTTGCACAGCACAACGATAGCGCCCGATATTTTTGTGTGAGTAAGTAGTACGGTGCATAGTAAATGCACGCTGTGGATGTAGGGATACGGTTTATAATTGATTGTGTAGTACGTTCTGATATATATAATGCGAGTGCGTGCGCGACTGCGTATATATTGCTTTTACTGTTCTGCAAGTGTAGTAGTAGGCGGGTGGTAGGGGCCAACTGGAGACACCGGGTTCCGATACATTTTCAACTACCAGGCATATCTCCTTCTATTATTATATCTATGGTCAACACGCAGTAGGGCAACGATTAATATAAAGATTAGCAGCAAATAAGAAAACTCATCTACAGGAAAAAACCACAACCTGCCTTTTTGTAGTACATTTTTACAACATCGCCATCTATCGATGATATTGGTTAACTATTACTTTAGACTTAGATAATAAGATTAATATATTTTTGTATATACTTATTATGCTTATTACGTTCTTTTTCTTTAATACTTTTGTTTACTTCGTTTTAGATATCATTATAGAACATCATTTAACATCATTTAATTATGATTTATAATATGATATTAGTTTAAAATGCACTTGATGGCTCAATCAACGCTACCATTGAACAAATTCGTACATATACCTCGTACCCACACTTCAGAATATTTATCATAACTTTTGATGAAATGAACTGCTTTTAATGAAATAAAGACTAAATGTAACCCGAAGATACACTTTATAATTTCCTTAACGATTCTCATGATATAAATTAGTACTTTATATGTGATAAGTTAACAAACAAAGAGAAAAACGGTAGAAATGTATTTAATTACATATTGTTAGTATCTCTCAATCACTTTTATTACAAAAATATTAAATGTACAGACGTCTGCTATTTACATTTTTATTATATGTATAGATAGGACAAACTTATCAAGAAGAAGCATTCTCGTAGCTTGTCACTATGAGCGCCATCTAGCAGCCGACAGCTGAAGACTTATTTTCTGATAATTCTAACTTGGGATAGCTTAACACACAGCTTCGGACCTGAACAAATTATTATACAATTAGTCCATGATTTCGTACGCACGACGAATGAAAAAAATCGATTAATTAAGAACTTGATTTAGAAGGCTTACGGAAGATGAAATAATAAACTATATTCGACCCTTATATAAGAAATGACATGTGGGCCCTTAGAAAATATATATTATATTATTAATGAGCTATAAATGTCAAAAAGTAGTTATAAATTGACATAAAGTACTGTAATAATAAGATTAAATTTATACGACGATTTAGACGACTCAAATTATATTTAAGATTCTAATTTTATATACTCCACCAAATAAAGACTAGTCTATTCTATCCTTTAATCAATATACTATAGTGAAATAGCGCTAGTGTATATTTTGCTTAAATCGACTATGTTTTCCGCAGTCGTACGTACAGGCGCTTCAAAAGAAGGCGCAGTGCGGCAACTGGAGCGGTGTCGGTAGCGGCGGCGGCGGCGGCGAGTGCAGTACACTGCAGAGTGACTCCACGCACCTCACTGTGCTCGCCGGCTCCGAACATGCGCCGCCCACTGACTCCGACGACGAGCTCAACCAGATCCGGGCCGCCCAATAGCGCCACGGTGAGTATCTATATATTCATACATCTGCCAGTGAAAGTTCCGTCAAAATTAGTCCAGCCATTTCGGATATTAGCCGGAAGAAACAGACAGACTGTCAAAAATTTTAAAAATTATTTTTTGTTTTAGATACTGTCATATGAATATATACTTTTGTATCAATTTGGTAAAAAGTTGTTATTTTGACATTACAAACAGACACTTTTATTTTATTTATTTGTATGGATGAAAAGAGAAACCTTTGTTTAACCATATTGCAGGCTGGGAGATTTGCTCATTTAAACCTTATTTGGACAAGGAGTGCACAAAGTTAACATTTATTTTGAATATGTAGTACAAATACATGAAATTAAATTAAATAATACATTAATTTGTTACGATCATGCTGGCAATAACATTATTAGTGTCAATCGCTTAATAGTCTGTGGTTAAATAGACGCACGAAGTAGAGATTGTCGCCAATAGTATATAATCACTACGTTTTTATTTGTCGCCAAAGAATTTTAAAAGGTTACCGTTATCGTTACAGCCTATTAAATTCCACTGCTGAACAAAGGCCTCCCCCATACATTGCCTCATAGAGGAGATATTTGCCATAGTAGCCATAGTTGTTAAATGTCCAGTTCAATGTGAATTACAGCTTGCTTTATGTACAAACATAAATATTTTTTAATGAATTCCATCCACTAGTCGAATTTCATCTACTAGGCCACCACTAGTAAAGATAATTTTATTGCGTACGCAGTGGTATAAGCACTGACCTCTATTTATGGACTGGCTATACACCGTGACATAATGAGGCGGTTTGATTTTCGCCATTTTGACGCTGACAGCAGAAGTGAACGTCCACGGAACTAATAATAGGGATAAGACAATGTGAAAAAATATATCGGTAAAAATTCTATACCCAGGCCTACCCGTAAAGTCCATTCTATTTATGTATCATATTAATATAATGCTATACAATAAATAAATGTATCAATTAATACCTAGGCCTTAGACGCAAGCTTTATACCTCGTAATATAAAACCAAGATCAACGCTGCGTTGATCTATCTACGTTTTATTCGTAACTACAGAACGCATTTGTTCCTGGGTTTCAAATGAGAAAATACCTACGCATACCTGCATTTCGGGGGCAAGAACGGATTATGTCGGACTTGCATCTACTAAAACCCCATGATGTTCCGCATTTACCACACATTGACAGGGCCACGGAAACGCTTTCAAGCATATCCGTGGGCCCCCCACCGAGGACCCCTCCTTAGTTGTGGACTTCCATCCCCGACTTCCCGAGCCCGATATGTGAAGGCCATGAAGCCAAGAAAAAACAAGCACTTGGAAGCACCAAGTGGTACAGTCCTGCCAAAGTCTCGGAGGCTAGTCGAGTGGCGCGTTACCATACCAACAATCCTTTTCTCTTGCGACTCCACTTTGGCTGCAGCGATATAGAGAGAGGACTTTCCTCTAGCCGCAGCTCATTAACACACATCCAAGGGCTCGACAAGCTCACTCAGAGTGGCTACCTTGGGCCAGCTCTTCACTTTGGGCCAGCCATGTGAATCGCCCTACGTTTACCATGGGTTACCTAGCCACGTCTACTAACGCCCCCCCCCCCCAACTCCGCCACGACAAGGCGGGAACCCATTCAGGGGGGAGTTATTTCTCACCTAAACTCACGCAAACTCCATAAGGATATTAATAATTTTGCAGTTTATTCCCTTGATACAATAAATTGGTCATAACAATTATACAGGTTTAACAAACTCACGTCTTGTAAACACAAAGTCATCATCAGGCGACTTTTCTCCACTTGGTTATGGTTATGGTATATATGTAAATATTGTGGGTATACTGCATTTTTAGGGTTCCGTACCTCAAAAGAAAAAAACGGAACACTTATAGGATCACTTTGTTGTCCGTCTGTCTGTCTGTCTGTCTGTCTGTCAAGACCCTTTTTCTCAGGAACGCGTGGAGGTATCAAGCTGAAATTCATATCAAATACTCAAGTCTACTGTCCCTTGGAGCTGTGAAAAAATCAAACTTCTAAGCCAACGCAATCAAAAGATACAGCCGTTTATGCCGCAAATTTTTAACAGTTTTAACGTTATGTTTAACAGTGGTAGAGCCAAGCGGCAGCTTTTGCTGTCACACGGATGGGCCGGTTTGAACCGGGTTTGAACCGGGGTGGTACCACGACCTCACAGAAAACCAGCGTGAAGTAGAGGTTTACCTCTGCGTTTCGCTTGGTGAGTGCAGGTGGCCGGAGGCCCTTTTTACTGGAAATGAGGCATTCCATATTAGTCCTCACGGGTGACAACGCATCTACATTTTGATTTGGATAGAGGATAGATGTAGGTGTCTATGGGCCGCTGCAACCACTTACCATCAGGTGGACTGTGGGCTCGTTTGTCACCCTTATCCTATAAAAAAAAATATTATGCCGCAAGGGAATCAAAACCTACAGGGTACTTCCGTGAACTCAGAATCTTAAAATTTGGTACGAAGCAACGTATTATAGCACAGATAAAGGAAAAATTGCGAAACGCATAAATTTTTAGTTACATCATATAATAAAAATATTTTTAATAATTTTAACCTACAGACTTGTTCGGAACCCTCGGTGCGCGAGTCCGACTCGCACTTGGCCGGTTTTTTCAAAGTAGTGCATTTCTCATGTCATCTATGAAGTGTTTAGATCAGAGATAATTATTTTGTTTCGGACGCCAATTCACAATTTTTGTGCTTTTTAGCCATAATTTTAGTCTAGGTACAGTTGGAAACCTGTTAATTAATAAACATTTGATGATGATCTGTTGTCGGCGAGTTTGGTTGTTCACAGATATGGGTAGAAAAGAACATCGATAAGTATTATAGACAAGGAACTCGACAACCCTATTGAATTTTATTGTTTATCAAAACTCAGTAATATAAAGCCAAACATGTTTGTAATTACGATATTAAGATTAGTAACAAATTTTTAAGTACCTATATTATCAAACAGTTTTAATTTGCTTAATAGTAGCTGTAAATTCACTTACTTGTGGAATGTTATATAAATTATATATAATATAAATTATTACTAAAATAATTTATATTATATAACTAAAATTAAACATAATCAAACCACATGAAATACTTTCATATTTTAGTTTAAAGTTCAAAATACAAAGATACGATTTAAATAATACAACAGACTTTGGCATATTACGTCAATTTTAGCTCCCGGTACGGACAATGAGGGCGCTTCTAATCGGCATAAGCATTTTGTATGGTATAGCCAGTCCAGCGTACTTGTATATATAGAGGTCATAAGGTTTAATGTATATATAGAGGGTATAAGGTTGCTTGCAAATATTCGTTCATGAATAACGGATGACTTAACAGACTTACAACTTTAGAAATTAGAACTTAGCTTAACTTAGTATGTAATTATCGATCACGTTATTTGTAAATACATATTAAAGTTTACAAGTTTACGCACAACGTCGCACGAAGTAAATAAAGTATTCTTATGTGCATATTTTAGGCCTCGTTAAAGGGCTAATTTTGGGTCAATTTCTAGCTGTAATTATTCTTCCGTCTATTTGCCGCCCATATGGCGCAACACAGTGTAGCCAGTCTCATATAGCCCGACGATATTTTCTATTCAAATTGCTTATTTTAAATTAACGAACGCTATACTCTCTTTGAGATTGCATGCAACTATAAGTTCGTTATTCTTACATGCTTAAGATAGAGGACAGAGGCAGAGAGAGATGTACATCACGTTGAATTATTTGATAGTGTACTTTGGTTTGAGGGTACACACATATCCCTCATAAAGTAATCCCAGTCTCATATAGCCCGACTATATTTTCTATTCAAATTGCTTATTTTAAATTAACGAACGCTATACTCTCTTTGAGATTGCATGCAACTATAAGTTCGTTATTCTTACATGCTTAAGATAGAGGACAGAGGCAGAGAGAGATGTACATCACGTTGAATTATTTGATAGTGTACTTTGGTTTGAGGGTACACACATATCCCTCATAAAGTAATCCCAGTGTCATATAGCCCGACTATATTTTCTATTCAAATTGCTTATTTTAAATTAACGAACGCTATACTCTCTTTGAGATTGCATGCAACTATAAGTTCGTTATTCTTACATGCTTAAGATAGAGGACAGAGGCAGAGAGAGATGTACATCACGTTGAATTATTTGATAGTGTACTTTGGTTTGAGGGTACACACATATCCCTCATAAAGTAATCCCAGTGTCATATAGCCCGACTATATTTTCTATTCAAATTGCTTATTTTAAATTAACGAACGCTATACTCTCTTTGAGATTGCATGCAACTATAAGTTTGTTATTCTTACATGCTTAAGATAGAGGACAGAGGCAGAGAGAGATGTACATCACGTTGAATTATTTGATAGTGTACTTTGGTTTGAGGGTACACACATATCCCTCATAAAGTAATCCCAGTGTCATATAGCCCGACTATATTTTCTATTCAAATTGCTTATTTTAAATTAACGAACGCTATACTCTCTTTGAGATTGCATGCAACTATAAGTTCGTTATTCTTACATGCTTAAGATAGAGGACAGAGGCAGAGAGAGATGTACATCACGTTGAATTATTTGATAGTGTACTTTGGTTTGAGGGTACACACATATCCCTCATAAAGTAATCCCAGTGTCATATAGCCCGACTATATTTTCTATTCAAATTGCTTATTTTAAATTAACGAACGCTATACTCTCTTTGAGATTGCATGCAACTATAAGTTTGTTATTCTTACATGCTTAAGATAGAGGACAGAGGCAGAGAGAGGTGTGATATGTCGACGCCGTTGATTCCGATGCTAGCTGACGCAGCAAGGGGAGTGCCTTGAAACTGAGGAGATACGACAAAGGGGTTCCGCTTAGGGGTTAAGGCGCAAACTTATGTCTTCTTAGGATTGAACTGGACTAGATTTAGTCACCCCTAATCCGAGACTTTATTCAGCA